CTTCCCCCACTGACCTTACCTCCCTCCCCCATCTGACCTAACCTCTCTCCCCCCACGGACCTTACCTCCCTCCCCCATCTGACCTTACCTCCCTCCCCCATCTGATCTCACCTCCCTCCCCCATCTGACCTCACCTCCCTCCCCCATCTGACCTCACCTCCCTCCCCCATCTGACCTTACCTCCCTCCCCCATTCGACCTTACCTCCTTCCCCCCACTGACCTTACCTCCCTCCCCCATCTGACCTTACCTCCCTCCCCCATCCTGCTTTACCTCCCTCCCCCGTACTGACCTAACCTCCTTCCCCGCACTGACCTTACCTCCCTCCCCCATCTGACCTTACCTCCTTCCCCCCTCTGACCTTACCTCCCTCCTCCATCTGACCTCACCTCCCTCCCCCATCTGACCTAACCTCCCTCCCCCCACTGACCTTACCTCCCTCCCCCATTCGACCTTACCTCCCTCCCCCCACTGACCTTACCTCCCTCTCCCATCTGACCTTACATCCCTCCACCATCTGACCTTACCTCCCTCCCCCATCTGACCTTACCTCTCTCCCCCCACTGACCTTACCTCCCTCCCCCATTCGACCTTACCTCCTTCCCCCCACTGACCTTACCTCCCTCCCCCATCTGACCTCACCTCCCTCCCCCATCCTACCTTACCTCCCTCCCCCAACTGACCTAACCTCCTTCCCCCCACTGAACTTACCTCCCTCCCCCATCTGACCTCACCTCCCTCCCCCATCCTACCTTACCTCCCTCCCCCAACTGACCTAACCTCCTTCCCCCCACTGAACTTACCTCCCTCCCCCATCTGACCTCACCTCCCTCCCCCATCCTACCTTACCTCCCTCCCCCAACTGACCTAACCTCCTTCCCCCATTCGACCTCACCTCCCTCCCCCCACTGACCTTACCTCCTTCCCCCCACTGACCTTACCTCCCTCCCCCATCTGACCTTACCTCCCTCCCCCATCTGACCTTACCTCCTTCCCCCCTCTGACCTTACCTCCCTCCTCCATCTGACCTCACCTCCCTCCCCCATTAGACCTTACCTCCTTCCCCCCACTGACCTTACCTCCCTCTCCCATCTGACCTCACCTCCCTCCCCCATCTGACCCCACCTCCCTCCCCCATCTGACCTTACCTCCCTCCCCCACTGACCTCACCCCCCTCCCCCATCTGACCTAACCTCCTTCCCCCCACTGACCTTACCTCCCTCCCCCATCTGACCTTACCTCCTTCCCCCCACTGACCTTACCTCCCTCACCCCACTGACCTTACCTCCCTCCCCCATCTAACCTTACCTCTCTCCCCCACTGACCTTACCTCCCTCCCCCATCTGACCTTACCTCCTTCCCCCCACTGACCTTACCTCCCTCCCCCATCTGACCTTACCTCCTTCCCCCCACTGACCTTACCTCCCTCCCCCATCTGACTTTACCTCTCTCCCCCATCTGACCTAACCTCCTTCCCTACACTGACGTATACCTCCCTCCCCCCTCTGACCTCACCTCCCTCCCCCATCTGACCTCACCTCCCTCCCCCCTCTGACCTTACCTCCCTCCCCCATCTGACCTTACCTCCCTCCCCCATCTGACCTTACCTCCTTCCCCCCTCTGACCTTACCTCCCTCCTCCATCTGACCTCACCTCCCTCCCCCATTAGACCTTACCTCCTTCCCCCCACTGACCTTACCTCCCTCTCCCATCTGACCTCACCTCCCTCCCCCATCTGACCCCACCTCCCTCCCCCATCTGACCTTACCTCCCTCCCCCACTGACCTCACCCCCCTCCCCCATCTGACCTAACCTCCTTCCCCCCACTGACCTTACCTCCCTCCCCCATCTGACCTTACCTCCTTCCCCCCACTGACCTTACCTCCCTCACCCCACTGACCTTACCTCCCTCCCCCATCTAACCTTACCTCTCTCCCCCTCTGACCTTACCTCCCTCCCCCCTCTGACCTTACCTCCCTCCCCCCTCTGACCTTACCTCCCTCCCCCATCTGACCTTACCTCCCTCCCCCCTCTGACCTTACCTCCCTCCCCCATCTGACCTTATCTCCTTCCCCCATCTGACCTCACCTCCCTCCCCCCTCTGACCTTACCTCCCTTCCCCCTCTAACCAACACTCCATTGTTCCTCTGTACCTCCCTTCACCCTCTAACCTCACCACCCTGCACCCTCCGACCTCACCTCCCAACCTCTCACCTGACCAACCCTCCCATCTCTCTATAACCTCTCCTCATTTGCACCTCTGACCTCACCTCCCTTCCCCCCTTGATCTAACCTCCCTTTCCTCCCTCGCGCATAACCTCCCTTCGCACTATTACGTCACCTACCTTCCCCCCAATACAAGACCCGCCTTTCCCCTCCCACCGCACCCTCGCGGTGCTCATGGGACATCATGTCGTTTACTTACCCTCTGTATCACCTCGTTTTCCCCAGTAAGAGGTCTCCATGCGGTCACATCCCTTTCTCCCATGCCACCACCTCCCTAACCCCCATGCCTTCAAGACCCATTTCATCACATGGTGCTCGCCATGCCATCCCATCCTATACCTTCCAGCGGAAAAGAATATCCCTTCTTACCTGCCATCACGGTCATTACCCCTTTATCGTCTCCCGACTTCCCCCATGCCCTCTCCTCCCTTCCAACCCTTGTCATCACATCTCTTTCCCCTCCGCCATCACATCCCTCCCACCCAGATCCCTTCTCCCCTGCCACGCCCTTCGTAATCTCAATCCGCCCTTCTTCCCAGCATTCCGCCCTTCCTATTGCCCTTCCCCCTCGGTCTCCCCCTCCATTCCCCCTCCCCATAACAACCCTTCAACCCGCGCCTTATTCAGCCCATCCCTAATCCCCGCCCATCCCTAATCTCATACCGCCATAACTCCTCGCATTCCGCCGTAATCCCTACTCTCATTCCGCCCTTATTCCTCTCATTCCGCCCTTATTCCTCTCATTCCATCCTTCTTCCTCTCATTCCGCCCTTCTTCCTCTCATTCTGCCCTTCTTCCTCTCATTCCGCCCTTCTTCCTCTCATTCCGCCCTTCTTCCTCTCATTCCGCCCTTCTTCCTCTCATTCCGCCCTCCCTGCTCTCATTCCGCCCTCCCTGCTCTCATTCCGCCCTTCTTCCTCTCATTCCGCCTTTATTCCTCTCATTCCGCCCTTCTTCCTCTCATTCCGCCCTTATTCCTCTCATTCCGCCCTTATTCCTCTCATTCCGCCCTTATTCCTCTCATTCCGCCCTTATTCCTCTCATTCCGCCCTTATTCCTCTCATTCCGCCCTTCTTCCTCTCATTCCGCCCTTCTTCCTCTCATTCCGCCCTTATTCCTCTCATTCCGCCCTTATTCCTCTCATTCCGCCCGTCTTCCTCGCATTCCGTAATTCTTCGTCTCATTCCGCACTTCGTCCTCTCATGACGCTCCTCTTCCTCTCGTCGCGCCCGTCATTCTCTCCCTAATCCCCTCTTCCTAAACAAACCGCCCTTCCTAATCGCATTCCGCACACCCTACACTCATTCCGCACGTATCAACTCTCATTTAGCCCGTCGTAGTCTAAATCAGCCCTTCTAAATCTCATTCGGCGCTTACCACTCTCATGCCGCCCGTTTCCTCTCTCATCGACGATATGGGAAGCTATTCTCATTCTAATCGTACACGGTGCAAAGAATGCTTACCAGGAATGTGCTATGTCGAATTTCACAAAGCAAGGAGACGGGAGGAAGGTTGCTTGGCGTGAGCAGTCATTTCAACCCCACAAAGTGCTTGCGTCGTCGAAGTGGGTCGCACAGTTCTCAATCAGACCCAGACCTGTCCCTTCAGGCTCGACTTGCACCCAAACCTGCACTCCCAGGTTTGTTCTGGCACCCTCTGTTGGGGAGTTCGCCGTGTTGTTTTCACCAGCTCCCCAAAAATTTCGTCATTCGCCACCCAATCACTGACGTGCAAACCCAACCAAGTGTTAAACCGTTGAAAATTGGAGACGCGAGCTTTAAAGCCTCTTGGCCGTGTCTAATACCCTAACATAGGCAATGATTACGGCAGCTCTTTGGAAGCAGCAGCAGCAGCAGCAGGTAGCGCGCGACGTAATTAAACACCCCAATTGGCTTCGACGAAAACCGGAAGGATTAGTAGCCTGGAAGCCGAGGCCTAGAACCCAGGAGCACTTACTGGAGCGGCGAATGGGTCACCAGAGCGTGACATCGGGGGCGGAGCGACAGAGCGCGCGAACACAACCTCACTAGAACCCGCAGCATTCTTTACAGCGACTCAAGCAGTGGCTATAGACGGGGTGAGCCTCGTGTCGCGCGCCGCCTCGCGTATCTTCTCATTTAGAGATTATCGCTCTTCAATGCGCCATACGCCCATCTAACGCCTGGTGCCCATAGTAGCCTTCACATAGCTCTCTCGAATCGCCTTCACATAATTCGCTTGGTTTAGACAAGCCTGTCAGTAACTTTTGAATAGACTCGACACTCGTTTGATCAGGCCAGTTAACACAAGTAACCTCTGGCTGTCCTAACGCCACGTAGACTCCCTGCTTACGTGGCAACCGAGCGCGTTGCTGCGTAGCGCGGCAGCAGCGTCCTTCCGTAGCGCGGCAGTCTCAGGGGCCAGTACGGGCGGCACATGGTCTTTAATTGCTCCGTTCCTGTCTGGCCAACCAATTCGGCCATTCGTGTCTGGCCCTGCCTTGCCCGCAATCATCGCTACACTCAGCCTCTCCTCGTTTTTTTCTCCCCTTACTAACCGCTTATTCGCCGCGTGCTCAACCCCCTCTACGACTCTCATTGCGTCAGTTCCGTACTTCACCCACGGTTTTCCCGACAGTCTAACTCGCTTCTCTCCTGCAAACCCCGCCTCCTTTTCTCCTGTACATGCTACAGCACCAAGGGGTAGCACCAGCGCACCCACCTGCCAACAGCAGCAGCAGCAGCAGCAGCAGCCAGCAGAAGTGCAGTTTCCACAGTATCCGCCTTCCCATCCCCCATGGACGTGTCGCACCTAGCCTCCACCCTCGCCGCTGCCATCCCCGCCGCCTGTCCACCTCACGCGCACGCCTCCCCCGTCTCCCCGGGCTTCTCCCCGCCAATGCTCTCCCCGCGCTCGCCTGAAGTCAGTCCGCGGGGCAGCCGCCTCAAAGTGACGGCGGATATCATTATAGCGCGTACAATCGACTCTGTCCTGGACCTCTCCTTCCCTTACGGCTCTGCTGCTGCTTCCCCCTCGAGAGTAGGTCGCGGGTGGCGAGGGCAGGGCTGTGTGTGTAACATGACATGATAACCACTCAGGGCTGTGGGTTTCGAGCCTTTTCCTTGTTCTTGTGGTTGGTTCCAATGTCAGGGGGACTCCCATGCTGCTCTCCTTCTCACATCTCCTCCTTTCCGCCATCTTGTTCCTGACCTGAAATCCTTGCCTGTCCCTCTCCCTCCCACTCCCCCCAATCTCCACTTTGTGTACTCAAGCTAAGTTTCCCTCCTTACTGCCTCTTCTATTCCCATTCGTCCTCTCTCTGCCCCCCTCCCCCTCCCGTCCGCCCTGCATGCGTTCCCCTGGGGCTGATCATCTGCTGCAGTCGCCACAGCACCGCTACAGTGCAAACCAGCAGCAGCAGCCACCGCAGCAGGAGCAGCAAGAGCAGCAGCATCTGCACTCCCAGTCCCTCCCTACGCTCATACTCCCAGATCCAACCTACAGCACCACCAGTAGCGGTAGCGGTGGCAGCAGCACCACCAGCAGCAGCAGCAGCAGCAGCTTCAGTAGCTTTAACAGCAGCAGCAGAAGCAGCAACAGCAGCGGTGGCGGCGGCAGTGGCGGTGGCAGCAACCCAAACGGCATTGCAGACAGCAGCTTTGGCTTTGGCAGCCCCACATTCAAGCCCTCCGCTCCTCGTGCCTTCCCCGAGCCACTACCACAGCTGAGCGGGGAAGGAGCAGGCACAGACGCGGACATCAGCAGCCCCACAGCAGGGGAGGCAGACACGCCCAAAATAGGCCGGCCGGGGTCGCTGTGGGGGGGCGGCAAGGGGAGGAAGGGCGCAGTGTTCCCGGCGCTGCTGGTGGACGTGCCAGACAGCAGCAAGTCGCCCACAGGCGCTGGTACGCCATCATGCCATTGCTGCCTCTTGCATTTCGGGTCCTGGCTGGGTGGGGTTCTCTAAGGTTTGTGTTGAAGGCCCCCCAGGGTTTGAGGTGCGGAGTTTGGGACCCCTCTTTTTGGGGCATGCAAACCACTTTTGGCTCTCGTTGCTGTGCCAGGGCGCTCCAAGAGTCACTTCTGAGAACTCTCAACAGTGGTCCTGGTACATCTGTAGGAGTGTGGTATCTATCTCTCTGTGCTTGCGTGCTTGCTCAGTGCCGCTGCTGTTGATATGTGGAGCTTCTGTATGCTGAGCTGGGCTTTGCTTGTGGATGGGTGCTGCTATACCTATATATGTATATAACCCATCACATCACCATCTAATCCTCTTCCCCTACTCCGCTTTACGCACCTGTGTGACTGTGTCCAGTCCTCCGTCCTTTGCATCCGCCTCCTCTCTTGCAGCTCACTCGCGTACCCTGTCTGTCACTTCACATCGCCCTCACTCCCTCACCCCCCTCAGGGCGTTCCTTCGCAGCAGATGCGGCGGTGCAGTCTCCTGTGCCCAATTCGTCCACCCCGCCCGAACCCCCTGCATCCACACCCTCGTCCACCTCCTCCTCCAACCCCAGCCCTCTTGGCTTCACCTTCACACCAACGTCAGCACCAACAGCAGCAGCAGCAGCAGCAGCAGCAGCAGGATCAGAAGCAGGTGGCCCATCCTCTCCGTCGCTCCCCACCACCCCTCCCCCGCCACTCTCTCCTTCCCTTTCCAAACCCCATACCCAGATCTCCCCATCCTTCCCATCCCCTCTCGCCCACTCCCCGCACGCCTCCCTTTCGCCCACCTCCCTAGCAGCCACCTTCGCAGCCACCAGGGAAGCCACCCCTTCCGCCATCTGCCGATCCCCCATCGCCTCCCCCCTCAACTCTCTCGGCCCCTCCCACTCCCCCGCTCTCACGCCCTCCCGCCGCCACCTACCGCCCTTCCCCGAGCCCCCCATGGCGCCCTCTCTCTTCTCCGCTATGGACAAGCTTCTCTCTGTCTCCACGGGAGCAGCAGACCTCCAACCCTCGCCGCTTCCCTCCCCCCTTGCCTCGCCTGCTCTCTCCCCCCTCCCAGGGTCTGCCTGGCCCCCGGCCCTGTCCCCTGCCCCATCCCCTGGCCCGTCCCCAGGCCCCTCCCCGGTGCCCTCGCCTCTCTCTGCCACTGCCAGGAACGGCGCTCTGCCGTCCTTGTTCACCCGTGGCGCCTTCCCCAGTGGGACCGGTGGTGGCGCGGGCAGTGACGCGGGCAGTGACGCGGGCAGTGGGGCGGGCGTGATGGGCAATGGATTGGATGGCACGACTGGGGGGTTACCATGGCTGGGGTTGGGGTTGGGGTTGGGCCCTGGGCCAGGGTCGGGGTCAGGGTCGGGCAGTAGTCCTGGCAAGGCGCGCACGCTGCTAGGCCTGGTGGACCCAGGGGAGGAGCCTGCAGCAGGGCATGTATCCCCGTTCAACAGCTCCCGCCGCCACCTCGATGCCTTTCGCAGGACCCGCCCCTCTGGTCGCACTCCAGATGGCTTTTCCTCCTCTTCTTCTTCGTCGTCTTCCTCCTCCTTCTCCCTCTCGTCCTCGTCACCCTCACCACTACCATCATCCACCCCCACCAGTGCCATCGCAACCACTGCCACTCAGCAACCCACTACAGTGCAAGGTGCACACACCTCATCCCAATCCGCGTCCGCCTCGCGTTCCTCTGGCCTACCTGTGCGTATGACTGCCTCGTATCGCTCCAAGTCACTGGAGCAGGCGCCAGTGGAAGCAGTGCCGGTGGGGGTGCTGTATCAGAAGAGCCACTCGCTTGATCTGGACCTCTCAAGGGGTGTTTTTGATCGATCCGAAAGCTTGCCGGGTGCTGCTGCTACAGTTGATGCTGCTACGGTTGATGCTGCTACGGTTGATGCTGCTACGGTTGATGCTGCTACAGCTGACGCTGCTTCAGGTGACGCTGTTACGTTTGATGTTGCCAAAGGCATAGCAACTGCTGCGGCTGGCCCTCTCCCTGTCACCTCGCCAGCAGCAACCCCTGTGGCGGCTGTAGTAGCAGCAGCAGCAGCTAGTTCCTTCCCTGGCCTGAACCCCACAGCAACTGCCATCACACGAGCTGCGCCAGCAGCAGAGGCCACAGGGTCAGGTGCGCTTAGAGAGGAGGAGGGCGAGATGGTTGGGGATGTGCCAAGTGTGATGAAATCCGACGGGGAGGGTGGGGTAGAGGAAGGGGAAGGTGCAGGGCGAAGGGATGTGGAGAGGTCAGATGACAGGGCTGGTGGCGAGGAGGAGGAGGGGCAAGTGGGGAGTGGAAGGGGCGAGGAGGGCGAGGTTCATGTGCCGTTGAGACTGCATGCGGCTGCTGCACCTGAGAATGCTTCCGCTGCTGCTCCAGCTGCTGCCACCCCTGCTTCGATCAGCGTTGTGCCTGGTGGGTTGCATTCGGCCCCAGCTACAACTGCTGCTTCTGCGGAGTCTTCTGCTCCTGCTGCTCCTGCTCCTGCTGCTCCTGCTCCTGCTGCTCCTCCTGAAGCTTGTGGCAACGGTTTTCTGGGGCATGGAGAGGAGAGCAACAGGATGAGTGCGGAGCAGGCCTCTGGGGCCAGTCACGGCGAAGGCTTGCCTGGGGATGGAGTGCAAGGGGACCAGCTTCCAGTGCCCAGCCACCAACAACAGCTTGGGGACCACCCAACGCAGCAGCCGCAGCAGCGGCCGCAACAAGAGCTGCAGCAGCCGGAGCTGCAGCCCCAGCAACAGCAACAGCAACAACCGCAACAGCAACAGCAGCAGCAGCAGCAGCAGCAGCAGCAGCAGCAGCAGCAGCAGCAACAGCAGCCAGCGCAGCAGCAGCAGGCCGCGCCGCTGGTAATAAACGTGGCGCCTCTGGACGCACTGTCTGCTGCCGGGCGAGTCACGTTTGACGGGCCACTCGTGGGCGGGCTGGAGGAGCCCCTGCATCTGCCCAGCTTCACCAGCGGCGCCCTCCCCTGGCACCGCAAGAAGAGCCCGCCTCCCTTTGCTGCTGGCGCACGCGCGCTAGAGGCGCTGCGGCGAGCAGAGGGTGCTGCTGCTGCCCATGCTGCTGCTGGGACTGGGTCTGCTGCTGGGGCTGGCGGGTCTGAGGCTGCTGGGACTGCTGGGGCGGGTGGTGAGAGCATGGTGGGTGAGAGTGTTGATGAGGATGGGGTTCTTTTGCCCTCGTCTGCTCTGCCCTGGGGTGATTCTGCAGCAGCTGCTGCAGGAGGAGGAGGAGGTGGGGTGGGTGGGTGGGCGGTGGAGCGATTGGTGGTGGAGAGGGAAGAGGAGGGGGAGATGGAGCAGGCAATCAGAGATGTGAAGAGCGGCAAGGAGGGGCAAGTGAATGCTGTGGACTCCAACCCTGGGTTGATCCAGGGTAATGCCGTTGCTGGTGGGCGTGATGATAGTGGTGGAGGGGCGGAGGGTATCGCCAGGGATAATGGCACTACTGCTGCACCGGGCGGCAGTGCTCTGGATGGCTCGTTTGACTCTCTTTTTGGTGCCTCTGCAGGGGTTCTCCTGCCACTCGTGCCTGTGCTGCCGCCGCTTAAAGCCGATGCTGCATCTGTCCTCTCCTTCCACACACCTGCCACATCTGCCACCGCTGCAGCTGTCCCAGCAGACCCAGTAGCAGGAGCAGCAGCAGCAGCAGCAGCGGGGACAAGGGACAAAGAAGCAGCAGCACAAGGCACTGACGTTCTTACAAACCACGTGCCACACAGGCACACACCACCCCATCACCCTCCCCTGGGCCTCCTACCCCTCTCCATCCCCGGCAGCACCAAGCCTCACCCAGCAGCACCCGCCCCACTCCACACCGCGCCCTCCCCCTCCCCTTCCTCCCTCACCCCCTCCCCCCTCGCCTCCTCGCCTCTCATCACCCCATCGCCCACCAGCGGCCCCCACAGAGCCTTCCCGCGCTCAGCCACGTGCTCCTCTCTGCCTGTGCGCTCGCCCCTCTCCTCCTCCCCCATCGCCTCTCCCGGGTCTCTAGAGGCGCTCTTCCAGTCGTCCAAGCACCACGGCGGGGTTGTGTTGGAGAATTCTGTAAAGTCCCCCGGAGTGGGATTTGATCACCATTCTAGCCTCTCGGCCTCCTCCCGCCTTGCGCTCCCGCTCCCTCCCTCTTCTTCCTCCTCTACCCCCTCCTCCACTCCCAACGCTGCATCAGCAGTATCAGCCCGGGCAGCATCACTAGCAGCAGCAACAGCAGCCACATCATCCCCCGCTCCATCGCTCTCCCCGCTCCTCCTCGCTGGCTCCACTGCTTCTCCCTCCACTGCTCCCGCGCTGCTATCCCGCCCCGCACTCGCACGCTACCACAGCATGCCAGCAGCCCAGATGGGCCACCTCCCCATGCCCGCCCTTGCCCCCATGCACTCCTTCCTCGACTCGTCCGCCAACCCTGTATCCCTGGAGGAGCTGTTTCAGCAAACCCGGCTGTCAGGGGTTGTGCCTGTGTTATCGCCCCTGCCGTCCCCACTCATCTCCCCAGCACTCAGCTCGCCTGCCTCTGCTGCCGCATCCCCTATAGCCGCTTCCCCTGCTGCTGCTGCTGCTGCTGCCGCTGCTGGTGTCAGCACCTCTGGTTTCATCTCCCCGGTGCTTTTCTCGCCCGTGCTGCTATCCCCAGCCATGTCCCCGGGTGTGGCACCACCAGTGCCTCCGCCCACTCCTGCCAAGCCCTCTGTCACGCTGCTTGGCCTTGTTCCTTCCTCCTCTTCCGCCTCCTCCCCGTCTTTCTCCAAGCATCAGCCTTCCCCTCCTCCATCCGCTTCCTTGCCGTCCCTCTTCTCCTCCTCCCCCCCCCCCCCCCCTTCCTCCTCCTCCTCCTCCTCCTCCTCCTCCTCCTCCTCCTCCTCCTCCTCCTCCTCCTCCTCCTCCTCCTCCTCCTCCTCCTCCTCCTCCTCTTACTCCTCCTCCCCCTCCCCCCCCACCACCAGCGCACCCCCTCCCACCAACCCCTCCTTCTCACCAGCCCCACCATTCCACCACTTAATCCCAACCCCACCTCCTCCCCGCTCCCCTTCCGCCGACCCGCGCTCCCCACGCCACAGCATGATACACTCCAACCCACACTCACCCAGGCACGGCTGGCACTCACCCATCCCCTCAACCTCAACCATCCCCACACACGACCCTTTCTCTCTCCACCACGCGCCCTCCAGCAGCGGCGGCCCCATACACTCTGTGCAGAGCCCCTCGCGCCCGCGCTCCCCCGTGCCGCTCTCTCCCCGTGTGCTGCGCCAAGTGGCTGCTTCCAACAGTTTCAACAGCAGCAGCCCCCGTGCTGCCTCTGCTGCTGCGGCGGCGGCTGTGGCTGCGGCTGCTGCTGCAACAGAGCCTGCTGCTGCTGCATCAGGTGGGTTTTCAGGTGGTGGAGGGTTGGAAGAGGCGGCTCCTCTCTCGCAGCTCGACGTGCTCGTTGCTCTCTCTGCCGGCGCTCTCCCTGTCATGCCCACGCACACCTCTCCCACCGCTTCCATTTCTCCCGCCACCACTCCCGACCGCTTCTCACCCACATGGCCCGCAACAGCAGCACACAGCCCTTCCACTCCTGTCGTCGCTGCAGCAGCAATCAACCACACCGAGTCACCAGCGGCAGGACCTCGCACCCCTGTGAGTGTATTCAGCACAGCAGGACCAGGAGCAGCGACTGGCAGCACAGGCAGTCCCAGGCACGGTCGGCCCATGCGCACGCTGCTAGGCCTGGTGGAGGTGCGGGAGGAGGAGCCCCCTAAATCCCCCCGCAGCGCCAACCCCTCCCCTCGCAGCCGCCATATACGGCGCCACAGCATGCCCAGTGCCAAGAGCAACCTCGGTGCTGCTGGTAGCTATGGTGCGGACGGGGCAGGGGGAGGGGTTGGTGGGGGAGGGGGGACGGGTTCAGTGCCTGCTGCTGCTCCTGAGGCGTCTCCCCAGGGTGATGCTGTTGGTGCTGCGGCCAGTGCTGGTCAATGTGCTGCTGATGCTGCTGCTGCTGCTCCTGCTGCTGCCCCTAGTGCTGTTTCCTCACTCGTCTTACCAGTAGATCGACAGCAGCAGCAGCAGCAGCAGGCGCTGCAGCAGAGGCAGCGGCAGCAGCAGCAGGACCAAGGGTACGCTGCAGTGGGGCTGACCCATCTGGGTCCGTTGCAGGGGGGCGGGGAGGAGGAGCAGCAGTTCCATCTGCAGCTTCCCAACTTCAAGACTGCTCGCCCTCCCTTCCTACGCGACTCTGCCTCCCCTGCTGCTGCTCACAGCCCTGCCTCTCCTGCTGCTGCTCAGAATGAGCACGTGTTGCTGCCAGCAGGGCTAGGGGCAGAGAGGGAAGGCGGGGGGAGTGCTGGTGGGGATATGGGGAGACGGGGAGTGGGGAATACAGGCGGGGGAGATGCGCCAAAGAGAGTGGTGCAGCCGGCAGAAGCAGGAGATGCAGTGGCTGTAGCGGCTGGTGAGGCTGTGCCTACAGGTGCAGTTGCCGACAGTGGGAAAGCTGTTTCTGCTGCTGCTGCTGCTTCTGCTGCGCTCGTTTCACAGGAGAGCGGAAATGGAGCAGGTGCGGCCGGGTCAACAGGGCTGCCAGGGTCGGCAGGGGTGTCAGGGTCGGTGGAGGCACGGAGGATACTGGCTTTGCTGCAGCGACTGCGAGAGCCGCTGGTGGCAGCACGGGGCAAGCTGCAGGCGGGCAGTGCTGAGGCTGTTGCTGTGGAGGAGGCTGCTCGTGCTGTTGAGGGGGACCTGCTCCGCCTGCTGGGGGAAGCGGGGGAAGGGGAGGGGGGAGAGGGGGACGGGGGAGTGGGTGAGGGGGGAGATGGGGACAGGGGAGTGGGGGAGGGGAAAGATGGGGACGGGGGAGGGCAGGGGAGAGCGGATCGGGGGAAAGGGGAGCAGGGGAGAGGGGATTTGAGGGTTCGTGGTGGGGATGAGGAGGGGGATGTGGTGGAGGGAGAGGGGGAGAAGGTGGGGATGAGAATGGATGGATTGGGGGATGGAAGAAGGGATGAGGGGAAGGTGGATGGAGGGGAGGGGAGCGCAGGAGAAGGGGTTGCAGCAAGGGGGGGTTGCGCAGTGGAGGTAGCCCCAAGAGCCTCTTCAAATGATGGTGCCACTGATGCTGTGCCTGGTGCTGCACCTGCTCGTGTGCTACCATCATCATTGTCAGCAGCAGCAGAAGCAGAAGCAGGAGCAGTAGAAGCAGCAGGAGCAGTAGAAGCAGAGAGGCAGGTGTTGGGAAATACTGACAGTGGTGAGGTGGATGAGGCGTTGGAGGGAGCAATGAGAGACAGCGGCGCACAGGAGGGGGTGATTGCAGAGAGGAGACGAGAGCAAGGGGTGGGGAAGGAGGGCGTGCGGTTGGGCTTGGCGGGAGAGGAAGAGGAGGACGGCAGCCGGAGCGGTGAGGCAAGGAGTGTGGAGAAGGAGCGTGAGGGGCAGCGGCTGTGGGATGAACGGGAGAGAGCAGCAGCGAGTGGGGAAGGTGGGGAAGGGGCGGGAGTGGGGTTAGGAGCAGGGCGGAGAGAGCAGCAGTCAGCAGCTGTGAAGTCGGCATGGCGTGCAGGGGAGGCAGTGGGGCTTCATGCTGTGTTGGCAGGTGGTGATGTGAGGGAGGTGGAGCTGTCGTTCAAGGAGAGCTTGAGCCGGGAAGATAAAGGGATGCATGCTGGTGGTGGTGTGGAGGGGCAGGGTCGCTATGATGACAGGAGCAACTACCGCCGTTCTCATCACCAGGGACAGCAGCAGGAGCAGCAGCAGCAGCAGCAGCAGCAGCAGCAGCAGAAGGAGCAGAAGCAGAAGGAGCAGAATGAGCAGCAGCAGCAGCGGCAGCGGCGGGAGAAGGCACACAAACAGCCGTCAATGGAGGGCGTTTCCGCGCTGGAGCTTCAAGCAGCTCTGCAGCAGGTGGTGAACCTAGGCGCAGCCATGGACGGCGCAACACTCGGGGGGGTAGAACGAGGAGAAAGAGGAGAAAGAGGAGGAGGAGGAGGAGGAGCGATAGGCAAGGAGAGCACTGGGAGGAGGGGCAGGGATGGGGAGGCCGGGAAAGGGACTGGCACTATTAAGTTGGAGCATGTTGATGGGTACGAGCATGCATCAGACAGCGGTAGCAGCAGCTGCACCCACCGGGGTACACAACCCGGAGGTGGTGCATCTGGCGATGCTCCTGCTGGTTCTGGCGCTGCCTTTGCTGCTGCGGGTAAAATCGCTGCTGGATCGGCTGGTGCTGGCGGCAGCAGTACCCAAGGGAGCTTGCGTGGTGATTTGTGGCCTCTTTCCCACGCCAAGCCGACTCGCTTCAAGGAAGGCAGTGTGGGCAGCAGTGGGGTGGGCAGCCGAACAGGCAGTGGTGTGGGCAGTGGGGCAGGCAGTGCGGCAGGCAGTAGCATGGGGAGTGCAGCAGACTCTGGGGCGGACTCTGGTGTAGACACAAGGCAGCACAGGCTGAGGCTGCAGAGGAGGGAGAAGGAGCGTGCGGTTAGCGTTGCGGGCGGCAGCAGCAGCAGCAGCAGCGCTGTTGGCGGAGCGGTGGCGAGGGGTGGAGTGGTGTCGATGACGGTGGAGGGCGGTAAGGTGGTGGTGTCTGGCACTCTCAAGTACACACGAGAGGTGCGGTTCTCAGGGATATGGTCCCAGGATGGCCTTGACATTACCTCTGCTGCTGCTCTTGCTCATTCTGATATCGCTGCTGATTCTGCTGCTAATGATGATGCTCATCACCATGATGCTCTTGTCGTGCATCGTAAGGGCACTGCTGCTGCTGCTGCTGCTGGCACTGCTGCTGCTGCTGCTGCTGCTGCTGCTGCCTCTCTTGCTTCCGGTAAGGGGCCGCAGGTGCGGCAACCCAGGAGTGGCGTCAGGGCGGAGAAGAGCAGAGGCAGAAAGTACCGGCTGTCGCTGCTGGGGAATGTCGTGGAAGGTGGCGGTGGGAGTGAGGGGACGAGTGGGGTGACGAGTGGGGTGAATAGTGGGATGGGGAGTGAGGGAGTGAGTGAGGTTGGGAGCGAGGGAGTGAGTGAGGGGGGGAGTGAGGTGGTTATGATGCAGAGAGGGAGGCGCGTGAAGAGCCAGAGCAGGAGCAGGGAGAGTGGAGGCACTGGTGGGTCATTAGGTGGCAGTGGGAATGTTAGTGGGAGTGGGAGTGCGAGTGGCAGTGGGTGGAGCAGCAGAGGAGTGGAGGCCGGGGCGAGGAGAAGGAAGGGAAAGAGCAGGATGGGGCTAGCGGCAGAGAGCGGTTCAGTGGGGTCAGCAGGGAGTGCAGTAGGAGGGGTTGAAGCAGATGGAGCAACTGGGGAAGGGAGTGGGAGAGGAAGGGGAAGAGGAAGGGCGAGAGGGAAGGGGAGAGGAAGCGGTGGAGAGGCATTAGGTGCAGCAGCAGCAGCAGCAGCAGCAGCAGCAGAAGCAGCAGAAGCAGAAGCAGAGGCAGTGGGAGGGGCAGGTAGGGTGTCTATTGGGCAGCCGGGTATTGGGGCAGTGCAGCAGGCACAAAGGAGTGAAGAGGGCGCGTGGAGCGAGGGCAAAGGAGAGACGGATGGGGAGGAAAGGCAGGATGAGGAGATGCATGGGGATGGTGGCGTTGCTTGCCATGATGGCAGCAGCAGCAGCAGCAGTGAGGATGTGTTCTACGAGGCGCGGGAGATGGTGAGCTCGCCAGGGTCAGTGGTAGGGTCGGTGGCAGGTTCGGCATTGGCGTCGGTGTCAGCATCGGACGATGAGGGCATGTGGAGTTGCAACTCATCTTCCCGCATGCTCAACGCCCCGACTACTCTCCCTTCCCCTGCCTACGCTGCTGCTGCCACTTCTCCTGCACCTGATGCTAGTGCTGCCACTGCCATGGGCACTCTCAGTGCACAGGCTACCGCTGCTGCTGCACGTGTGGCCTCGCCCGCCTCTGTGCCTGCACTTGCGCCTTCACCCTGCACTGACACAGCCACCAGCTCAGTTACAACATCACAGCAGCTCCTCACCCCCAGCAGCAAGGAAGACGCAGCACGCCCACTGGAATCCGTTGCTCCTGCTGCCAGCATCGCCAGCAAGGAAGACACAGCTGCCAGCATTGCCGCTGCTGCTCCCGCCACCACTGCAGCTTCTGCTGCTCTGGCTGTTGTGGCTGCTTCTGCCTCCGCCCCTTCCACATCACCTCCATCTGCTGCCATTTCCCCCCCTGCTACCTCTGCTTCGGTTCCTGATCCTGCTGTGCCTTCACCTGCTTCTGCCTCCACTGCTGTCCCTGCTGCCTCTGCTGCTGCCACCACTGCCAACACACCTTCCGTTTCTACTACAAAAGCGCCCACTGATACTGCCCCTGCCACCGCTGCTGTCACTTCTCCTCCCACCACCACCACAACCCCATCACCCCCCCCCCCAGAAACACTCTACACCCGCTCCCCGTCCCCTCCCCTCCCCTCCTCCAACCCCTTCTCCCTATCCCCCTCCAACCGGCTTCCCTCGTCCTCCTCCTCGCCCTTCACGCACCCGCCCTTCCGCCCACTCCCTCCCGATGCGCAGCTGCTGCTGCAGCGCTCCATGATTCCCCACCCGCGCCGCAGCCCCCTGGGTATCCGCCGCACTGTCTCCGATCTCACTGCTGAGGTCAGTGCTCTCAGGGCCGCCTCTGCCTCTGCTGCTGCCTCTGCCGCTGCTGCTGCTGCGGCGGCGGCTGCTGCGGCTGCAGCTGCTGGAGCAGCTGGTTCAGGCGCTGCCGCTGGTGGTGCCTTTGGTGGGGGCGCGGGTACGGGGTTTGGTGGTTTCGGTGCAGGCAGTGGCAGCAGCAGCGGCGGCGGAGCAGCAGTGAATGCGCGGCGCCGTGCAGCAGCGATCTCAGCGCTGAGAGCAGCTGCTTTAGAAGGGCAGCTGCAGCAGTCGAACCACCCAGGAGTGTACACCAAACGAGCAATGGCAGGGCTGGGGGGGTTGGGAGGAGTGGGAGGGGATGGTGGAGGGAGCTGGGGAGGCGGGGTTGGAGGAGTGGGGTTCGGGGGAATGGGTGGGAGAGGGGTGGGGATGCGAGGAGGAGTGGGGGAAGGGCTAGGGGAGGATATGCTATTAGGCACGCCTGCGGCCGTGTTTGGGCGGAGCAGCAGTGGGTTAGGCAGCACAGAAGGAGGAGCAAGCACAGGGCTATCTCCCGTACACTTGAACATGGGTATGGGCATGGGCATGGGCATGGGCATGGGCATGGGAGTGAATAGAGCAGCCAGTCCGGGTACTGTCTCCATACCCTCCCCGGGCCTATCGGGTCCTTCCTGGCAGCTTCTCTCTTTCCCTGAAGACATGGCTACCGGTTCCCGCCCCTCCTCCTCCTCACACACTCTCACCCCGCAGTCCGCTTCTCGCACCCCCTCTGCCCTGGCCCCTGGCGTGGCGGATTTTCTCTGGGGATCGGGCAGTTTCCGGGGTGTGTTAGAGGGCCCCGGGCTTTTCCACTGGGGCTCTGGCAGTAGTACGAGCAGAGGGGGATGGACGGCAGGGGGAGAGGGGGGCACGGGGGGAGGAGGCGGCGGGGACGGGAGCGGCGAAGGGGAACGGGGCGGGGGAAGCAGCGGGGGGAGAGCCGGGCTGGGGAGTGGAGGCGGGGGGAGTAGAGGCGGCACGGGGGGGAGTGGGGGGGGCATTGGGCGGCTGGGGAGTGGGGGGGGGCGCAGCAGCGGGAGCGGCAGCGGGGGATCGACAGGATCGGGGTACCGATTTGCAGTGCCGATACAGCGGGCAGTGGCGGAGACAGATGACTATGAGGAGGGGCAGGTGTGCCCTCTGTCGCGCTCTAACAGTGCTAATCTGGATGTGCTGCTGCATGGCATGCACTCGGGGCACTCTGTGCCACCCCCCTGGGATAGTGGGGACATGGATGGGGTTGTGGATGGGCCAGGCGCGGGTGCTGCTGGTGGGGAAAGTGGGGCTGGTGGGGTGAGTGAGGTGGGTTCAGCAGCAGCGGCAGATGTGGGTGTACGGACGGAAGGGGTGGGTGAGAGTGAGGGAGTTGGGGAGGAGAGGAGGGAGGGGGGTTTTGAGGGGCAGAAGGGGGAAGGTGTTACAGAGGAGGGGAGAGGAGTGGGAACGGCAGGGAGGGTGGGTGGCGAGGGTGGGAGTGATGCGGAGGGTGAAGGAAGGGAGGGCGAGCAGGGAGATGCAGGGCGACAGGAGGACGTGCAGGTGGGTGGGGGTGGGCGTGGGGGTGCTACTGGTGCTGCTGGTGGCGGAGGAGAAAACGATGTGCAGGAGGGTGCAGATACGGAGATTGAGCCAGGGAATTCCGTTCCACCCAATGCTTTTGCTGTCGCTTCTGCTGCTCCTGCCTCTCCTGGTGCTCCGGGTGCAGTTGCAGCTGCTGTTAGCAAAGCTGACAGTGACCTGGGTAAGCTGGTAGGTGAGGGAGGAGGTGGTGGAGGTGGTGGAGGTGGTGGAGGTGGTGGAGGTGGTGGAGGTGGAGTAGGAGGAGGGGTTGATATACCAGAAGAGGAACGTGCAGCAGCAAGCACAGGTGCAGGACCAGACGGCGATAGCCCAAACCATCCATCTGCCGAGCATGGGGAAGGAGCAAGGGCGGGCGGAGGAGTCAGCATACCCACCCAACCGTCAACCTCATCACTCACACCCACCCAGCCCTCCCCTCATCCATCCCGCCAGCCCATCACCCAACCAATGCCGCAGCCTCAATCCCAGCCCATCCAGCAGCCTGTGCCTCCGCCTGTAATGCGGCCACAGAGCCCGCCATCGCACCAGCGCCCGCTGTCTCCTCTCAGGCACCACCAGCACCGCCTGCAGCCGTCGCTGCTGGGTCGCCGCCCTGCCTCCCCCCACACCGCGCCCGCTGCTGTCGGCGGCCTCGCCTCCCCTGCTGCCCCGCAGCCTCAGCTGTCCACTGCTCTGGCTTCTTCTGCTTCTCCTTCCGCTGCATTCTCTGCTGCTCCTTTGGACGATTTTCCTGCAGTGGTGGTGCCTCAACGCGGGGGTTTGGATCGTGGTGGGTTTGCTGCCTCTCCCTCTGCCTCCTCGCCCTCCTCGCCGCACCTCACCTCTCCTGCGTCGCCTGCTTCTCCTGCCTCCCCGGCCTCTCCTGCTCCTGCTGACAGCAGCAGCATCTGTGGGCCTTCACCTGCTTTTGCTCCAAGAGCAGTCAACCCATCAGCTTCACCCATTCACTCTTGGATCGCTGCTACCATGTACGCTGCTGCTAATGCCAACCACACCGCCACCCGCCCCACCACCGCCACCGCCACCACCACCACCACCACTGCCACCAGCACTGGTTCCCCCTTGACGCCTTCGCTCGCTGCATCAGTCGCCCCTGCTGATGCCCCAGACACAGAATACCCCACGCCTGATGTCCCTGCAGGCGCAGCAGCAGGCATGAGCGAACCCACGCCCTCCTCACCACCCACTGCATCACTCTCAACAGCATCTGCGGCAGCACCAGCGCCAGCGCCAGCAGCAGCAGCAGCGGCGGCAGCGGACATGGGGCTGAGTCTTGGGGGAGACATTGTCAAGGATACCCGCGTCGCTGCACGCATTCTGGAGCAGCAGCAGCAGCAGCAGCAGCAGCAAGGGGGGGCGGTACCGGTCCGCGTGTGGTCTAACAGCAGCAGGGTCAGCAACAGCAGTGATGCTGATGGGGCTTCTCCTGCTGTCATTGCTGTGGCTGCTGCAACTGTTGCTGGCGCTGCTGTTGCCTCTGGGGCTAGCGATGGGGCTCTTGGGCTGGCGAGCAACCCACCTCTGCTGGTGCTGCGTGCTGTCAGTGCTTCTGGGTCGGAGCCTGCGCCCCTGCAACCGCCCTCGGTGCTTGTGAGTCGAGAGCGAGGGTTCGCGTCTGTGATTCCCGGGCCATCGCCACCGGCCAATGCAGCACCAGCACCTGCATCTGCTGCATCATCAGCATCTGTAGCAGCAACAGCAGGAACAGCAAGAACAGCAGGAACAGCTGCATCTGCTGCTGCTGCGACAGCTGCTGCTATTGCCAGCAGCAGTGTGGCGAGTCCGAGTGTGAGTGTGAGTGTGAGTGCAGCAGAAGAATCGGTGGTGGAGGGCATGAGAGAGCCAGGGATGATGCCGCTGGTGCAGGCAGGGCGAGCTGTACCAGAAGAAAGTCTCACTGCCCTTAGTCACAACAGCAGCATCGCCTCTACTACCCCTCCTCCTGCTCCTGCACCTGCTGTGATTTCTGCTACTGCCCCTGCTGCGGCTCCTGCCACTTCTGCTACCAGCAGTGGCAGTGGCAGTGGCAGTGGTGGTGCTGTGGTATCTGGAAGCAGGGTGAAAGGGGACAGTGGTGGAGCAGGGGGGAGCAGCATGAGTGGCAACAGCAGCCCAGGCTATTCAGCAGCCACAAGCCCTGCTTTAGCTGCTGCTGTAGCTTCTGCTGCTGCTGCTGCTGCTGCTGGTGGTCCTGGTCCTGGTTCAATGGGCAGTCCTGCAAGCGATTTGGGTCAGCATCATTACTACCACCACCACTACCACCATCACCACCACCACCACTTGCGCGTCTTCCCCTCCTTCCGGAAACGGAAGCAGCGGTATGTAGAAGCCGAGAGCCTGGCTGCTGGTGCAGCTTATAACGCAGAAGCCAGTATGGGGTACGCGCCTGCTGTGGGCAGCAATGTGGGCGTGGGTGGCAGTGCAAGCACAGGTGCAGGTGCAAGGACAGGGAATGCCCACACAGGCATGATGAGGACGCCCTCAGCTTCCTCTGCCACTCCCAGCAGCGACAGTACCGGGAGCAGTGTGAGGGGCCCCGGGGGCGTGGCAGGCATGGTGGCGCGCACAAGAATCGGCGGCAGTGGCAGGAGAAGCAATGCTGCTGCTGCCGCTGGTGCCGGCCGTGCGGGAGGGACTGGAGGGGGTGTATCGCCGTTTGGGTCCTCCCCAGCAACGGAAGGTGCTAGCGATGCAGACACTATGGCAGACCAAGAGGATGCGGTGAGTTTCTTCTGTGCATGCTTGTGCAGGACTTAGTGCTGTTCGCACTTTCATCCGCACTGCCGAACATACTTTCAAACCCGAAACTCATATGCTCCCTTCCATGCTGACATGCTGTCCTCTATGCCTGTGTCTAGCAATACCGATTCATGCATTGCCAAGGTGCCTCTCACCCTATTGCCCTTTTTTTGCTCGTGTTCCACCCTTTTTTTTTTCAGGATGTTCTGCTCACAGCACGGAGAAGTGTGGGGCTGACGTGTTGCGTCCGGCCACATGTTTTTGATTGATACTCACAAAATGGTGTGAATGGATGTTGAGTGGAGATGTCTAATCAGGTCAGTCGACTTCAGTCGACTTCAGTCTACAACACCCTTCATTTATTTGTGCATCGGGTATTTGCTAATTTGTTGCGAACTGATGGCAGAAATCAATGCTGTAATATAAATAATATTCAAATCCGATTGATGCTTAATTGAACCCTTTCAACGCTGTTGTATCCACTCGGTATGGACAAGGTTTAGTGGGTGGGCTCTTACTGCGGTGAACCGAGGTACAAACCAGTCGGCCTGACAGACTGGTTAGGCTCGGAAACAGCTGACACATCTCGACCTTGGTCAAGCTGAAGCTGGTCTGGCCATTCCCAGTTCCTGAAAACCACACCTTTTCATATTCCTTTCCTTTTCCCCGTGCTACTGTACTTTCTACAGAGTACGCACTGAAATTTGAAGGCACCTACTGCACTTCCTGGATTCCACACACTCGAACGGAATCGCCTTGTACTAGTTTGTCCCGCCGCCATAACTCCTGGGCAGAAATATAAATATTGAAACTCTACATCTTCAATTAGCATGATATTGTTGCGCTGTAGCAATTGATAACGATAACAGAGAAATACTTAACAAAGTTTTGTTCTCAAATAAAGTGTCCCTCATTTCCTCTGCTTCCCGCCAGCCTTCCTGGATCCGCCCTCCTCCCCCACGCTACCTGCGCCAGCCTTCTATGCGCTTCTCCAAGCCTGTGGACGGGACTCGGGCTAACAATGTTTGGCCACAGAGAGAGTCGAGCAGAGAGGGAAAGCTTGTGCATCGAATCCCTCCCATCACCTCGAGTCTGTCCCTAGTGTAGATCCTACAGTTGCGCTGGTGATCGTGGTTGGATTGTCGTGGGTACACACAGATGCCATTCCTAGCGGTCTTGGGAGCTCCAGCGGATGTTCTGCAGCTGGGCTGATCCATTCCTAAATAACACAGGCGCGCCAACGTTGCTTGTCTCTCTGCAATGCTTACAGTAGATCGTCCCGCGCTCCGTGATTCCGTCTGTGCTCGTGACTTAACATCTGGCCTTTTTGGTGCTTAACGGTGCCACGCGTTGGTTGCTGCAGGCGGCGGGATTCGCGGAGATGCAAACTTAATCAATCCGTCGAAAGCCGCTATCAAATTCGTTGAGTCGACCTTGGCTCGAATCTTGCTCCTACTCGCCTTCAACGATGCGAATCTTTCTTCCTTGACCAGCTCTTCCCCTTCCGTGCGAAATCCCCGTTCTCCCTTGTAAGGGTCTGAACCGGCGAAAGGAACAAATCAGTAGCTTTCCGCTACAGCAACTCTTTATGGTTCCGCCGTAGGCCGGCAAACGGATTTTGAACAGCCCTGGACAGCGAATGTAACCACATACCATTGCAACTGCTGTCTGGTACCCCGATTCGATTCCCCCGGTTGCCTTCACTTCATCTCCGTGCCTTTCACACCGTAATCACTGGCATCCATTCCGGAATCCCGGGTGGCCGCGTCAGCGGTGACGTCACTCGGGGTGTCGTCCCCGCCACCCGCTGCGCTCGCGTCGTCGTCGCTCGACCGCCACAGGCGGCGGCAGCGGGCCGTGCTGGACTGGGGGAGCAGCGTCGCGGGAGCGGCGGCGAGTAGCAGCATGTCGCGGCCAATGGCGCTGGGGCTCGTGCTGCTCGTGCTCTTCCTCACGTCGCAGTCCGAGTGGCGGTCGTCGCGCTCCCACATGGACGCCGCCGCGTCCGCCGCGTCGAAGCAGATGCGCGTGGAGAAGCACCGGGATGGCGTCAAGGAGAAGGTGCGCGCGCGTCGCTTATTCCTCCTTGCATGCTCCACGCTTTCTTTCCTACCCACGTCCCTCTTTCCTCCTTTCCCGCTCCCGTCCCGAATCTTCGTTGTCTGTTTTTGTTTTATTATCACTAGTATGTATCTGACTTACCCGCGAGTCGCGCATTCTCATTCTCTTTTGGGAGGTCTTCGTTGCATTGTTTAGATTGTCCCTGCGCCTGGGGTTTCCGTTGTCTGTCACGCCAAATGCTTGTGACATTATGAAGTATTACCCAAGACTCGTTTTTCCCGCGTTCGCGTAGCGATGCCATGCCGCGCATTTCCGCGCCTCGGCACGGTGCTTAACGAAAGCTGTTGTTCTCCCACCGTCAGATCATCATGGATCTAATGGTGGAGAACAAGCGTCTGGAGGCGGAGAGGGAGCGGCTTCGGCACGTGGTGGAGGAGATGCAACGGCGCCTGGTGGCGTGCTGCCATGCCAACCCGCACCTCGACACCTTCGAGCCCTCCACTCTCAGGCCCTCCTCTCGCCTCTCCCCGCAGACCCTGGATGACCGCTTCCTCTCCTCCTCCTCCTCTTCTTCCTCCTCTTCCTCCTTTTTCCCCTCCGCATCCTCCTCCTACTCCTCCTCTGCCTCCTCGTCTGCTTCGTCCTCATCTTCCTCTGCTTCCTCCTTCTCCTCCGCCTCGTCCTCTTCCGCCGCCCTCCCCTCAATCACCAGCGGATCCTCCCACGCCGTGATGTTTGGGCAGCCAAATGCTGATTCCCCAGGCATGCAGCGACAGGCAGGCGCGCAGAGCGACGGCGGGCGGGAGTATCAGCGGCAGCAGCTGCTCACTCGCAGGCACGTCGAGGAGGCGTTAGCGGGAGGCGGTGGCTTCGACGCTGATCCGCAGGAGCAGGAGCAACAGCAGGAGGAGGAGGAGGAGGAGCAGCAGCAGCAGCAGCAGCAGCAGCAGCAACAGCAGCAGTTGACGCAGCAGCTGCAGTCGCAGGTTCAGCAGCAGCAGTTACAGCAGCAAGTGCAGTCTCAGCAGGCTCAGCAGCAGCAGGCGGGTGGAGGCATGATACAGGGAGGAGCAGCTGTGATCGGGCATATGACTCGCTTCCGAGGGTTCCGAGAGCACCAGCAGCGACAACAGCTGCAACGGGAGCAGCAGCTGCAGCCGCAGGCGCAGCTGCAGCCGCAGGCGCAGCAGCAGCAGCCGCCGCAGCAGCACCTGTTGTTTCCACTGATTGTGCAGGAGGAGAAGGTTGGGAAGCAGCTTCAACGGCATACCTTTGATCAACGTCAGCAGCAGCAGTTGGCTGTGCCACAGGGGAAAGGAGAGTTCCTATCTCAGGAGCTTGAGGAGCAGCAGAGCTCATATGCAGGTAGCAGCAGTTTGAGCAGCAGTACTGGCAGCAGCATGGCTAGCAGCATTGCAAGCAGTGGGGAGGGCAGTGCACGGAGCAGTGTGCATGTGATGCAGGAGAATGGTGCGGGTGCTGATGTGCTTGCAGGTATGGGTGCAGTGCGTTTTGAAGAGGAATCCAGTGGTAGTCAAGGGGGCTCAGGTGCATGAGCTGGGCCCTGCGCTTGCTCGTTGACTTGCGATGATTGCTTGTGTGCCTTTTCCCTTTCCTTGCATGATTTCTGTGTGTATGCTGTGTGTTTTTGAAAGGAGGTGAACAGGGGAAGAGGAGGGGGGTGTTTGTTGGAACGAGTGGCAGAGGAAGGGGACAGGGCAAAGACATGGCTGTGAACCTCAGAATGATAGCATTGCGGGTGTACATGCATATGTGGGAGTCTAGAGTAAAATCTACTTTAGGTGACCTACTTAGAGTGTGTTCCTGCAGCCTCATATCAGGCAACCTTGTATCAGATTCGCGTTGAACCGCACTAAAACGCATCCAACTGCAGCCGAGCACTCAAACGTATTTCACCACGCGACGCTGATACGAGGTGTGTCTGATACTAGGTGTAGGAACATGCACTTATGCAGCGGCCCTGGCCTGGAATTAGGATGTGTTTCCCTGATGCACAAGTTACATATAATTCAAGGAAAGCTGTGTATTACAGAGTTGGTAATTTCATTTTAAATTACACACTGGCTGGGCCTTTATTTAGATAGTTGCTCAGTTGATTTGGAATTTCCTGATCATAATCTCGTGTTACAGTAATACGAGTTATCTGCACTGCGTACGCAGGGCGGGAAATGGAGGGAACCTTGCCTTTCAGATCTGTTTCTGCTGCTGCCAATCAACTCACCCGTCTTCAATGCTCTTCGAGGTCCTTAAGAAGCCTTTGTGCACGTTGGAAATAATCTAGATTGACACAGGCGGCGGTGACTTGGAGATACTGAACCGTGATACGCTGCCGTCAGCACTGCACCTGCGATATGCCTTGCCTCAGCCCGTCGGCGTCTCGGCAACAGCAGCTGCAGCAGCAGCAGCAGCAGCAGTTGGAGCCATTGCCGCAGGTCCATTCGCAAGCGGAGTTGGAATGTACGGATGTGTTTTCGCGCATACCCGACGATCTGCTCGGCCACATCCTGTTTCTCGTCGCATCCAACGGCTCCGATCCCAGATCTGATGCCGCAACACCGGATCATGCTCGCGTCGATTACACCTGGGATCCAACCGCCTCTCTTTTTGTGACTGCTGCGTCGTCAGGAGTGACGTCGTCAACGTCAACGTCAACGTCGTCGTCGTCGTCATCGTCTGCATCCCCTCAGCAGCTGCTTTTTTTCGATCACGCGCTCGTCTCCCAGCGATGGCTCCGCGTGGCGCGCTCCGTGCATCCCGCCATTGTCGTTCGAAGTCGTCGCCACATCTCGTCGCGACTGCTCGCGTCAGCCCTCCTCTCAGCGCCGCCGTCCCAACACTCCTTTCCTTCACCCGATCCGCACCACCCCTCGTCGCCTTCGCACCCTCCTCCTTTCCCTCCCTCTAATCCTCCCTCCCCCTCCCCCTCCCCCTCTCCCTCTCCCGCGCGCTTCCCCAACCTGCGTCATCTCCATCTGGGGCGCGACGCACTCGATGCGATCGACGCCGCGCTTCTCAACGCCATCGCTTTTGGCTGCGGCTCCACGCTGACGCACCTCAGCATCGTGGAGGACACGTGCAAGCAGCACCAGCAGCAGTCGTCTGCTACCGTTCAGCCGCGCAGCAGCAGAAGTGGCAGCGGCGGTGGCAGCAGCGCGAACGACGGAGACGACGGCAGCGGTGGTAGCGGCGGCAGCAGCAGCAGCGGCGGCAGCATTTCCATCATCTTCGACAATTGCACTCGATTGGTGGACCTTACGATTTCTCTGCCCGTTTATCTGCTCCAGATGCCCGTTCCCACTCTGCCCGCATCCATCAGCAGCTTACAGCAGCTGACGCGGCTCTGCGTGACTCTGCCGCACGAAGTCACCGAGTTACCACCCGAGTTGGGCAGCCTGCGGTCGCTCAGGAGCCTGACGATCGTCGCGCCGTCACTTACGACGCTTCCCGGCACGTTCGGCGGGCTCACATCTCTAGAAGAACTCGAGCTTGAGGGGTTACGAGTGGATGGTCTACCCAGCGGCCTATGGCAATTGAAAGCTCTGAGAAAGTTGATCTTTAGAATGATGGAAGAGTTGGTTGAGTTACCTGCCTCTCTCTCTCAGCTTTCACTCCTCACTCACCTACAGATTCACTGCTGCGGCGAGTTCAGCCGCCTGCCGGACAGTTTTGGGCAGCTGCAGCAATTGAGGGCACTCCAGCTGTTTTCGGTGGACTGGCTGCATGTGCTTCCAGAATCTTTGGGCGAGCTGCCCGAACTGACCGACTTGGAGATTCGCAACTGCCGGTTTCTAACCATGCTGCCCAGGTCACTGCCTTCCATCACCACCCTCCAGCGGCTCACCATCCACGACTGTGGAGATTTTTCCTCGCTGCCCGAAAACATCGGGCAGCTTCCAAATCTGGAGGAACTGGATATTGAGTCTATTGATATAACTGCCATCCCTAATAGCCTGGGGCGCCTCACCTCTCTCCAGAAGCTGTGGGTGTGGGACTGTTCAAGGCTCCAGAGCCTCCCACAGTCTGTATCATCCATGGTCTCGCTCTCGACCGTCCGTTTAGATGGTTGCGTTTCGGAGCAACTCCCAGAAGATTTTGGGCTGCTTCGGAATCTTCGTTATCTGGATCTGTCCCGCCTTCGGAACCTTCATTCGTTGCCCAGATCTTTCGGGCAGCTGAAATCATTGAAAGACTTCAAAGTGATAGGCTGCGCTGCACTCACTCTCCCTTCAGGTTCCACATTCAATCTCTCTTCGCTGGAGTCGCTGCTCGTGCGAGGCCATACACCAATCGGATCATTCCCTTCCAGCTTCGGGCATCTGCCAAACCTCCGTGCGCTTGAGCTCAGCGCCGGCTGCGAATTCGACGCACTGCCCGGCGCTGTCGCCAGCCTGCCCAAGCTGGAGGTGCTGAAACTGAACAGAGGCGGCTGCTTTGGAAGAGGGCCACAGCACGTGCCGGCAGACTTTTCTCAGCTGGCGCCCGCCCTTCGCATTCTGGAGCTGGACGGACTCAGGCAGCTTGAGTTTCTCCCTGCGTCCCTCACCCTTCTCACGCTCCTGCAGCGTCTGAGCATTGCGGACTGTGAGCAGCTGCAAGGGTTGCCGGAGGGCTTGGGGAACCTGGCTAGTCTCACGGAGCTGGAGTTGAGCTCCTGCCCCCGGCTCCACCTCTTCCCATCGCTTCTCCCTGCTCTGTCGCCTCTTGCACCGGTTCCCACCGCCTCAGCTTCCCTCACTGCTGTTCCCACCGCCTCAGCTGCCGCTGCTCCTGCTGCTTCCTCCACAGCACCCATCGCCACCACAGTTGATACCTCCTCCCTTACTTTCGTACGCGCTTCTGACATTGTCCCTTCAACCGACTGCTCTTCCCATTCACACACCCCTTCCCCCCTCCCATCCCTCCTCCGCCTGTCCATTCTTGACTGCCCGTTGCTCACCTCCCTCCCCAGCGACCTCCATCAGCTGCCACGTGTCAAGACATTCCACCTTGAAAACTGCCTGAATCTGAAACCCATATTCCGGCCTACATTGTCTTCCGCCCGTTCTGATTCTTCCACTGCTTCACCTGCTGCAGACCCCAGCCCAGCAGCACCGCCACTATCCCTCCCCGCGTCCCTCACCGGTCTCACCATCTCACGAGCATTCAACCCAGCCACGTGCCTTCCACCCTCCGTCCTCACCCTCTCACGCCTTCACACCCTCGCACTGACTCACCTGCCCTCACTCAAGCAGCTAACACCCCCCATGGAAGACTGTTTCAGTTGTCTCTTGAGCCTCCACACCTTGGTTCTTGACACTTGCGATGCCTTGTCATCCTTGCCTGCTTCCCTGCCCTCCCTCCGTAATCTCTCCAGGCTCATCATACAATCCTGCCCGCGCCTCCTTCACCTGCCTGAGAATCTAGGGCAGTTGAAATCATTGGAAGAGCTGGCCGTGGTGCACTGTGAGGGAATGACAGAAATTCCCTCTTCCCTCACTCTGCTCACATCTCTGAAACAACTGAGCATTGTAAACTGGCCTAAAATATCCTCCCTCTCAGATCACCTTTCCTCCCTCTCCTACCTCTCCTCCCTCCGTCTCAGCCGCCTGCCTTCTCTCCTGCACCTCCCCTCCTCCCTCGCTCTCCTCCACTCCCTCCGCTACCTCGACCTGGAAGGCTGCTCCAATCTGAAGGCCCTACCGGAGGACTTGGGCAGAGGGGGTGCTCTCCGGAGAGTGGATTTAACTCAGTGTTCGAGCTTACAGAGCCTGCCGGTGCCCCTGTGCTCTGGCAAGGTGGTTGTCAGTGGGCTGTGGGGGGCACAGTGTAGACAACCTGCTCAAGATTTAGTATCGATGCCATATTGGATTTAGAGTCATCTTAAAGGGACATCTGTAGATACGGGGTTGTGCTAAGGGGAAGGGTCTTAGGGAGTGTTCACTACGCTTGTACCAGTTCGTTCTGTATTTTGACTGCGTGGGGTAGTCAATACTTGTTGAAGATCAGGGGAGCTTGTGGTTGGGAACATACGGAAAGGATTCAAGGTCCAAATTGGGGATATCAACTGTACTGTCTCAAGTGTACATCGCTCATGACAACACCAAACGCAAACAAAGCCCCAACGCCAGTACCTGATAATCCCCATCAGAAAGCGGTACAGTAAAACATTATCAAGCTGCAGCCTCGCGACACGGGTAGGTAGGGGCCACTAAAGTGTACACTTCCAAATATATCGCTGGAAACGCAGCACCAGCTTCAGAAGTGAATCCCCCCCTCACGCAACTGGGATGTCAACGGCAGAGGGAGCAGCCTCTGGCGGAGTAACCTTGGCCATGGTGACAGTGAGCACGCCGTTCTTCATCTCCGCCTTGATCTGATCCGTCAGAACGTTGTCGGGAAGGGCCAGAGTAATCTGCGAAGCCAACAAACATTACAGGCGTTGAGGTCAGAGGGAAGTGACGGTTCTAGTCGTAATGTGGACTATATCAATGATTGTCGTGCAAATTGGTCAGGACAGACATAGCAGCAACGGGAATTGGCGCCTCACCTGGTAGGACTTGGCGATACGCGCATCACAAAGTCCCTCTTCCTCCTCTCCGCCCATCTCCTCCGCCTTGTGCTCTCCGCGAATCACCAAATCGCCATTCTCCAGCTTCACCGACACCTCCTCCTTGGACAGACCTGCACGCGCGGACAACTCGTGGTTTCACCTCAGCCATCAACCACCACGTAAAACTTCCAGGAACCCAGTGACCAGCAAAAACACAATGAACCTGCTCGGAAATCAGCATGCGGAATTGACGAGTTATCCTGTGACGGGAGGCAGCGCGAGCGGCGTACCTGGCATGTCGAGGCGCATGTGGAAGGCGTCGTCCGTCTCGCGCACGTCCCACGGCGTCCTCACCGCCACGCCCGGGCGCGCGGCGGCTCTAGCGGCGAGCGGCGAGGTGGCGCGGAAGAGAGAGGAGAAGCGCGGCATGGGCGGCAGGAGCGCGTCGTCGAACATGCGATCCACGGAGTCGAGCAGCTCCGTCAGCGAGCGGTTCGCCGGGAAGAACGGGTCGAATAGGTCTGCCAGACATGAACGGGGACATGAGAATGCGAGGTCACACGTCAAGGTCTGCCGCAATCGGATGGAAACTCTCACGGCAGGAATTCGCATGCAGCGGAAATGGAGATGCGGGATGTCATACTGAATGCGTTCCATGCTCGCATTTCTCACCTGAAAAGGCCCCAAGGGGAGCGACGGCACGGGATTCCAGGTCCCCCTGCCCCTTCCTTTCCGCAGAAGTTGGCGTCGCCTCGTGTTGCACCATCTGCTTCTCATCCTGCGACTGCTGCTGCGATTGCTGCTGCGACTGATGTTGCTGCGGCTGTTGCTGCTGCTGAGGCTTATCTGCCCACGCGAATATAGTGCGGGACCCTGACACACATCGAGGCGCCTTCAAAACATCTGCGGTGGGACGTGGATAGAGTCGTTGTTAAGGTGCCACCTTGGAGCGGGAAGTGTAGATGTCCAATTGCCAATCAGAATCGCTTGCCGTTGGTTTGCGTTTGGTTTGCCACCCGAAACGCTTTGCGACTGGTTTTCGATTGGAAAGCGTCAACCCGCTGATTTTCTCAGTGAGCATGCAATACAATCTCTAACTGAATGGTGCAACACAACATTCGTCGTCGCAGCAGGCATATATCGTACCTGGCTTCTTGAGGAGAAGAGGAGTCCGAAGGCTAGGTATGTTGCGAAGAGCCAGAGCATTCGTGGAAGCCATGGTGGCAGTCGTCCGCAAAGATTCAAGAAGCACAAAGAGCAACGGTTTCTACGCTCGCACGAGAAAAGAAAAGGCCACGGGCGTGTGCAATGAGCTTTGCGAGGGTTGCGTTTGGCTGAGCGTTGCAGGGAACCAGAGGCTGTGGGATGATGAATTCGAGCATCGTGGTTCCCTCTTATACCTCCCCTCACCACTGCTGCTCTCCGGCACCGAATTCGAATTGCTCGAAGCGGCACGCAATTCCATTCTCACGCGCCTCGGTCTTTCCAGAAGCATTCCGACGAGAAGATACTGTACAGTGCTTGCTTTGTTACCGTAGTTACCGGATATTATGTGACGCGATTTCCTTACAGGGTGGAGGGCAATCTCCGCATTGATAACTCCGATGTCTCTGCTCTACGGGCCTTCTTTGACATTTTGTAACACTAGGATTTATGCAAGCTCTAGAGAGAACTTTCCGTACATATATATTGTTTTCTTCAAAATGTGTGGGATAGTAGCAGTCCAATCGTTCAGGTAGGCAATCAAGCCATAGACATTCACTGGATTGAGTAAAAACTACACAGCGTTCTGCTGTGGTTTCAATATAGTGCCTCCATCCGTACAGCGATCAGTCAGATGGCATAGAGCTGGGAGAAAACAGGAACAGGGCAGAGAAACACAAGGCAAGGCAGGAAGAGGAGGAGGAATCAAAGGAGCCTGGTAGAGGGACCGCCCCGAGACAGAGGAATCAGAGGGACGATGACATGACATGCTTGAACTTCAGAGAACTCTGGTGCAGACATACGGTGTGGAACTCACTGCACCTACGATCTTGCAGTGCACCCCAAGGTTGCGAAAACATAGCAGTGACCATAGGTGCAGCACAGCAGCGGTCACCGCACAGCAGCGGTCACCGCACAGCAGCGGTCACCGCACAGCAGCGGTCACCGCACAGCAGCGATCACCGCACAGCAGCGATCACCGCACAGCAGCGGTCACCGCACAGCAGCGGTCACCGCACAGCGGCCGGTATTATGGTGCCACCTGGCACAGCACCTCACAGCGGCCGGGAGCGCACGTCAATGTACGCGTGGGCGTCCGCAAGGGGCATGCCCAGCCCCACCACAAGCCACGAGCGCAGGTCAAAGTACACGTGGTTTCGGTACCTCACAAGGGCCTCGGGATTACCTCACAGCACCTCATAGCGGCCGAGAGCGCATGTCAATGTACGCGTGGGCGTCCGCGAGGGGCATGCCCAGCCCCTCCACAAGGCCTCTGGCCACCACGTGGCGGTAGGCTTCAGAGGGCGGGTTCATGGGCAGCTTGCGCAGGCGGAACTTGGACAGGTCTGCCTCGGAACAGCTGATTGCGTGAGAGAGGAAGACAGGGGTGGCAGGTTGCAAGAGGCGACTAAAAGAATTGGAACTTGGACAGGTCGGATTCGGTACAGCTGATTGCGTGAGAAAGACGATTGGGAGGACGACAGGGGAGTGGGGGTTAGGACGGGGTGGAGGGCGGAGGGAGGTGGTTGGCAGTTGGAGGGCGAAGGCAGGAAGGTGGGGGGGGCAAAGCGGGATGTGGGAAGGCTGAGGAGTGTAAAAAAATCAGGTTCTGTGAGAAGGGGTCATGGGGAAGTAGCAGAGAGGAAACAGTGTGTTGTGCACAGTGCACATTCGAATCAAGTTGGTCTGATAAGCACAGAGAGGTTTGGTGGGATATGCAGCAGTGGAAAGTGGTGGTGCAAGGCACTGTAAAGGTTGGGCAGGTTAGTCAAAATGGTGATGTGAGGGACTGAAAACAGGGGCTGCATGGGGACATGGGAGCTTGGAGGCATGGGAGCGAGCATGGGGGCATGGGGACATGGGAGCTTGGAGGCATGGGAGCGAGCATGGGGGCATGGGGACATGGGAGCTTGGAGGCATGGGAGCGAGCATGGGGGCATGGGGACATGGGGGCAAGGGAGCTTGGGCGCATGGGAGGGCATGGAGGCAAGGGGGCAAAGGGGTGAGGGGGCAAGGGGGCAAACGGGCAAAGGGGCAAGGTGGCAAGGGAGCATGTGAGGTGAGAATGGGAGCAGACCTGAAGGTGAGTATTGGGCATCCATCATCAAAGCCCAGTAGCAGCACAGTGCCGTACCAGCCATCCTGTTAAGGCATGTACGCACACATAGACACGGGGGAACAACAAGGGGGAGTTACGGAGTGGGAGAAAGGCAAAGAAAAAATGTGAGTGGAAGAGTGTAGTGGAGATCTACAGTGGAGGATTCAGTCATGCAGATTACGAGAATTGCCCAGTTTGAGAGGAACACAAAACGTCTAGTTCCCAAGGAGACACCAATATGTGCAGGGTACAGGAGGAACAGGCGGAAAGGGGAGAGGAGGGGAGGCGGAAGGCTGACAGCGGTGGTGAGAGGATGAAGGAAAGGAACTAAAGCGTACCGGAAGGATCTCGTGGAAAGCAGAGGGGGATGGCTGTTGTGTTGCTGCTGTGGAAGCAGAAGCTCCTACTGCCGCAGCAGCGGCAGCAGCAGCATCGCTAGGCTTGGCTTGAGAGTCCAATATGGTGGAAGCTGATGGCTCTACTGCTGCTGCTGCTGCCACTGTTGCGTCCCCTGCTGCTCCTACTACTGCCCCAGGCATTGATGTGAGTGCTGTTGGTGTGCTGCTAGACTCGAATGGGACAGAGGGTGAGGGCCCTTGCAGTGACGAGGCGGGGGCAGGATTGACGGAAGGGACAGCGTTGAGCAAGCGGGAGGAGAGGCGTGCGAGGAGGGAGAGAGAGAGCAGCGAGTGGTTGGAAGAGGCGAGGAGAGAGGCGGATCGGGAGTTCTCCTGCGCCACCACCTCATTGAACTGGCGTAGACTGGTGGGGCGGGGTGATAGTGTGTGTGTGTGTGTGTGTGTGTGTGTGTGTGTGTGTGTGTGTGCATGGTGGTAGGGAGGGATGGAGAGAGGGAAGAGGATAATGAATGGGATGGATGGAGAGAGTGATGGGGAAGGGATGGGGCGAGGAGTGTGGGGGTGTTGGTGGAGTGCATGCAGCTGACAATGATTATCGCAGCAGCCACTGATCTGCACCTGAAACGCCGCTTGTTTTGAGACGTCTCAAAACTGATATGCACCTGAAACGCCGCTTTTTCCTTCATTCGCTCGTGCAGAACTGTCAACGCACTGACACTCAGGCTTACATTTGCAAGCAAGCAATCACTCACTCACACACACACACAAGCAAGCACGCACGCACAGCCCACTCACGTGATCTTATACATGCGCACATATGTGTGCGCTGTGTCTGGGTGCCCTCCCCTTGACCCTGGTGGGTGGTGCGCTTGCATCCCTCCCTCCCCCCCCATGCCTGCTGCTCCAGAGACAGGAGGACCAGATACAGAAGCAGCAGCAGAAGCAGAGAGAGGGGTGGCAATCTATGTGGAGAAAGACGCTGGGGCAGCCCTGCGTCCTGCGTCCGGACGCAGCGTCCGGACGCAAAGACGCAGGACGCGCGTCCGGACGCAGGACGCACCCTGGAAAATTTTTCGGGCAGACCGAGATTTTTTTTTTTTTCGCGATCGCGAAATTGACATTCGCGATTTCGTCGCGAATGTCAATTTCGCCGAAATTCGACACCCCCCAAGCAAATTCGACCCCCAAAACCAGCCATCTAATTCACCCCTAACCCCCTCCCCTTTTTGCAAAATTGATTTGGAAATCCAACCCCTCTCCACCACTCCACAACTAGGAAACCCAACCTTTGTGGTCCACCACCCCCACAAAGCCCATTTAGTTCATGAAACCTCTCATTTGTGCTCCCTTTTCTCACAACCCAATTCTCTTTCAAAAACCCTAGTGGTTTTAGCTCCTTTCCGCGCACCACCGTTATGGCTAGCTCCTTGTGTTCGCGACCTTGTGTTCGTTGCGCACAACTGGAACGTTGTGCACAACCACCACAAGGGTGCGGCGGGTGCGGGGCCGAGTGGGGAAGTCAGGAAGGCGGGAATAGTGGAGGGGAACATTCCCCCCCGACCCCTTCCCGAGGGGTACAAGCTTGAGGAGGATGGAGAGGTGGAGGTGGATGAGGATGACCTCACCTTCGACGAGTACAAGGAGCAGGAGGATTTGGAGAAGGAGGAGGAGAAGGGGATGGAGAGCGAGGAGGATGAGTGATGCATGTTAGTTAGTGGTAGTATGCATGCATGCTAAACAACCCTTGGACTAATTGTGATTATGGAAATTTGGGGCTCACCTTCATGTTCTATTGTTGTGGCTGAAATTTTGTTGTTGAGGAGAAATTTTGCTATGAAAGTGTGTTCCCCCCCCCCCCCCCCCCCCCCCCCCCTCTTACCCCCTCTTCCCTCTGCCCTATAACTTTTTTTTTGGCTGCCCGGGGGTTTTTTTTGGCTGCCCGGACCTGCGTCTTTTGCTGCGTCTCGGGGGCCCTAAACTAGCGTCCAGGACGCTGGACGCGTCTTTCTCCACATAGGTGGCAATCTCTGGGAAGGAAAAGGGCGAGGAGGAGGATGATGATGATGAGGAGGAGGAGGACGAAGAGGTGGAGGAGGAGGAAGAAGGGTGGAGGTCCAGAAAGCAGACCCCGCCATGGCCCCACGTGGAGGTTCGGGTCCTGCCGAACCACATGCGGTGCGGCACTGCAATCCACTTGGAGGCTCGGGGTGGTGTGGGGTCAGAGCAGCCGTGGCAGGGATGTGTCATGCCATCCACAGCGCCTCCCTGTATGTAGCACATGAATCGCTCTTCCAACATGTTAGACCCATAGCTTGCGTACCACACAAGAGTCTCCTCCTCTTTCCTGCACTCCTCCTTCCGCTCCCTGGTCTCGTCTTTCAAGCTGACCTCCTCAGGTTTGCTCTCTGGCTCGATCCCTTCCCAGTAGGTTCCGTTCTCGTCTCTCGTCTTGGCTTCGTTTTCCACACCATTGCCCCCGCCCTCCCGTCCTTCAACCGCAGTGGCTGCAGCTAGTGTTGCACTGACCCCTGCTTCTCGCACTTTCTGCTGCTCCGTACCATTAGCAACAGCTCTCATACCTGCCCCATCTCGAGTCCCTTCGGCTGCTACTCCTGCACTCTCCCCATCCCCTCTAAACCCCATGCCCCTCGTGCCACTCTCCACTTCCCCTGCCCCAACCCCTGGCAGGTCCTCAAAGTCTATAGAGGCATCGGAGGGGGTCGAGGGGGACGTGGGCTGACGGTGGGGGGGTGTGGTGGTAAGGGGGGGGGGTAGCAGTGGTGGCGGGGGAGTAAAATGGGACAGAAGGTATGATGACAGAAGATTCATGGGCTTGTCATATAGATGGGCGCGTGCATGCATGGGCGTGATTGCATGGATATGCATATGAGCGGTGTAGTGCGTGTGGAAGCATGATTGTACAAAGCTCAGCTCAGATGTTGGAGGCATGTGAAATGTATGGGTTAATGCACCTAAGAAATTCGTGGAATGGTGACTGTAGTACAAGCTCAATCAGCTCAGATGTATCTGCTTTTGGAATGCACGAGCACAAACCCATGCGCACCTGCATGCCTGCGCCGCACATATGTGATTGGCACACACACATGTCTGCATGCATATGATTGCAAGTGCATGCATATGATTGCAAGTGCATGCATATGATTGCAAGTGCATGCATATGATTGCAAGTGCATGCATATGATTGCAAGTGCATGCATGTGATTGCATGCGTTGCTAACTTGCTGGTGGGGAGTATCTGCATTTCCTAAAAAACTGCTCACCACATTCCACCTACCTGCATGTCAACTGGAACACCAGCAGAAGCGAGAGCAGCGGCAGCGGCAGCAGTGGCAGCAACATGCGCCATCTCAGCTTGGGAGAGATGCGAGAAGAGAGCATCCATGGATAGAGCAGGGGGGGCAGCAGCGGTGGACGATATGTGGGGAGGGAAGGAAGTGGGCGGGTGAGAGGAAGAGGGGGTGGAGGAGGAGGAGGCGTGGAGGGTTGCGAGGGAGTGCAGGAAGGTGGAGAGGTCGAGCGGCGAGGCGAGGCACGGCCACCACTGGGACAGATGCTTGCGCACCTGGTGGTGGGAGCGGGAGGGGCGAGGGGAGGGGAGGTTTGGCGTGGGGAGGAGGGGCGTGGGGAAGATGAGGAGAGTGAAGTAGGGAGGGAAAGAGCGAAGCCACTGGAGGCCCCATCTTCATTTGAAGAGAGGAAAGCTGGGGAACTATAACAAAGTGAAGCTGGGCAACTATAACAGAATGTGCTGTATCCAATCCAACACACGGTGGCGCAGCTCGAGGGCATGAATGAATTGAGCTACCTGAAGCATCGACGTTTCCTGAATCACATGAATGAATTGAGCTACCTGAAGCATCGACGTTTCCTGAATCACATGAATGAATTGAGCTACCTGAAGCATCGACGTTTCCTGAATCACATGAATGAATTGAGCTACCTGAAGCATCGACGTTTCCTGAATCACATGAATGAATTGAGCTACCTGAAGCATCGACGTTTCCTGAATCACATGAATGAATTGAGCTACCTGAAGCATCGACGTTTCCTGAATCACATGATAACTCAGCTGGAGCTCACACCGCACCTAACACCGCACCTAACACCGCACTGCAGCTGACACTCACCTGAAAGCACCTGAAATCTCACCTGAAGAACAGTGGCGAGGCCGGACTGGGAGAGGCGGAGGGGCCATTGAGGGGGGGGAGCAGCGATGGGGAGATCACCGAGCATGGCGGAGACACAGGCAGCGAAGCATTGCTCTATGGACTCAAGATTGTATCCCCCCTCCAACACCACCAACACTCCCACTGCTGTTGCTTGCAGTAGCTGGTGTGAGGGGCAAGGGGAGGGGGGAGGGGGGGTTTGGGAAGGGACGGGGAGGGAGGGAGAAGGACGGGGTTAGAGAAGAGAGAGGAGGTTGGAGGGGGGAGGGAAGGGAGGAAATGCGAGGGGTGATAAGAAAAAGGGGGAGAGTGAGAAGATGATGGGTGAGTCATGGCGGAGACACAGGCAGCGAAGCATTGCTCTATGGACTCGAGATTGTATCTCCCCTCCAAACACCACCACCACTCCCGCTGCTGTTGCTCTCAGCAACTGGTGTGCCGGAGGGTGGGGGAGGGTTGGGGGGATGGGGGGGTGCAGAAGGGAGGAGGAGAGGGGAGGGGTGATGGAGGAAGGGGGAGAATGAGAGGGGGGAGCAGGCAAGGCGAAAGGAGGATGGGAAAGGAAGCGGGGGAGAGGGGGGTGAGAAGGAGACGAGGTGTGCAAGGATATGTGGAAGAGTTGGCATGCACACTGCTAAGGCCTGCTGGTGCGGTTTGCTTAGATGGTGCGAGCGGAATGGCAAGGGCAGGGGCAGGGGCAGGGGCAGGGGCAGGGGCAGGGGCAGGGGCAGGGGCAGGGGCAGGGGCAAGGGCAGGGGCAGGGGCAAGGGCACCTTGTGTGTGAGGGTCACCCTGACTCATGTTTCGAAGGGCTGCAGTAGTAGAGAGGACGCTTAAGCAAAGGAATCAAACAGTGAAAAAAGGTGAGAAAAACGCAGATCTGAAAAAACCCTTAGCTTCCGAAAAGCCTCCTTGCGTAAACTAGTTTCGGCGGATGGGCGAACCCAATCACGCCTTCATCAGTACAGCACAATTCGGCACTCAGAAACAGAGAGTCTGGTAGCAGCTAAAATAGCTAGACTACCCTCGAGATCTACGTATAAGAAACCCAACTACCCAGAATCCAACTAGGAAAGGGGTTCGCCAACTAGGCAATGAAACAAATTCAGGGTGCCAAGTCAGCCTTCGGGAACTTCTTCGACAGCATTGGCGAGTGACTTTGGTAACCGCGCCCTTACGAGTAACCGCTGAAGGTTACGTGCACACTTCCATGCAATTATAATTCTCCCCACATAAAAACCGCGAGACATGAGACGACTTTTGAGGCGCCTCAAAAGCACCCCCAGCCTGAGACGTCCGGTCAAAGGTGTGAACAGTGTCTTCAAGACTAGGGGGCCGCGTTCGGGGGGAGTTTCAAATTTGTGTGCGTGGCGGGCAGCAGTCTGCTCCAGAAGGAGAGGTCGTTGTCGAAAGAAAATGCTCCTGAAGATGGGTAGAAGGAAATCAGAGGGGTAACCCCGACTTCGTAGCCGCTGGTAGAAAGCGCGCTTGGAGGCGAGAAAGGTATCTGCAGAAGTCGAGCGGAGAAGATAACGCTTCAGTTCAGCTGCAATAAAACCAGTCTTGCAGTGTCGGGGATGAAAAGACGAATAAGGGAGATAAAGGTATCGGTTAAGCGGTTTCTGGAATGTCTTCAGATCCAAGATACCCTGCCCAGCAAATCTCGGTCCCTTGAATAAGACCAAATCAAGAAAATCAGCTGAGCTGTCCGAAATCTGCCACGTCAGTTTGATATTCGGGTCAAGCTCGTTGAAGGTCTGCAGATACTTCTCCAACTCACTCCTCGATCCAGGCCAAAGAATCAGGCCATCGTCGATGTATCTGACATGGCGTAGAGGTTGCGTTCCGGACCATCTCTCCCTCAAAAGTTCATCCAGGCGGCTCATGAAAAGTACCGCAAAGCAGACCGCTGCAGGAGTTCCCATAGCGGTCCCTTGCGTCTGGTGGTACAGGTGGCCGTCGAACTCCACGTAAGAATTCATCATGACCCACTCCAGTAGGGCCATGACTGGTTGAAGACTGTGGTGACTCCCTCGTTGCAAAATGCTGCTCACCGCATCGAGTCCGCGCCTAAGAGGAATACTGGGGTAGAGCGACGAGACGTCGTACGTGGCTAGAAGAATCTCTTTAGGAAATGAAGTTTCCTCCAGCGACAAGAGTAGCGAAAGAGAGTCTCGGAGGTAAGTATGCTGTCGTAGCACCCACGGCCTAAGTTCCGCATCTAACCATCTACTGACATTCGAAGTAACCCATGAATGCGAAGCGGCGATCGGACGCCCAGCGAGCTGCTTCTTATGTAGCTTAGGAAGGATGTAAAAGGCTGCGGGTTTCCAACCTCCAGGTGGTTCGTCTAGAAAATACTTCCAAAGGCTGTCGGGATAAGCAGGGCCCCATGCGTGACGCAGTTCGTGCAGTCCCTGAACGACTAAGGCAGTAGGATCGTGGAGAACCGGGGTGTAAGTCGATCTGTCGCCTAGATGGTCCATACAGAGACGAACATAAAGTTCCCGATCCATCACAGTGATCCCGATGTTCTTGTCGGCCGGTTTAATAACCACACTACGATCTGCGGCGATGGAACGCAAGGCCTGTCGAACACGTAACGAGATGTTTCGGTGTCGAGGAGGCCTAGATGCTTTCAGCAGAAAAGATAGGTCCGAGGACGAATCTCTGAAAACCTGCTCCGGAATCTCACTCCGATCAGGTGCCCAACTCGGATTTCTCACTCGAAAACGATAGTCCTTAGCCGGGTCTGCATCCTTGAAGAAGAAACGTAGCGAAATCTGTCGGCAAAGCTGATCTAACTCGACCGTAGAAAGGGAAACAGCGGGCGTTGGGATAAACTTCAGACCAAGCCCCAGCGCTTTCTTCTCGTCCAAGGACAAGACTTTGGCGCTGAGGTTATGAACTCCGCGGTTGCGAACTCGTAACGCCGCCTGCCGAAACGTTAGCTTCGCGAACCAACGGAGCGCTAAATCGTGGCTGGTCACTTCTTGTGCGGCCCTTTTCCGGGGCCGCCTCCGCCGTTTTTTGGTCCCTTGGCCTTCGATGTGGTAGGGCCTTTCGCCTGCTGCTCTTTGTCGGCGCTGGAATTCTGCTTCTTTGGAGTCTTACCACCCCGCTTCTTCTTCGGCTTAGGCTTCCCAGGTGCACCGTCCTGCCTCCCAGGTTGAGCCGTCTGCTTCTTGTCAGCGGATGCGGCCTGCGAAGAGTTCTGCTCTCCGATGTGAAGATTCTTCTGCAGCTTCTTAGATAGACTGGCCTCAAGCTTCTGCGTAATCTCCCGCCGAAGCTTGTCTTCAATCTTCTTGGCATGCTTAGCCAGAATCTCCTCAATCGCAGGCTCCATTTCCATCTCCTGCACCTCCTCAGCTGCAGCAGCCTTCTTCAAATCCTCAGCCGCCAGCTTATGATGTCGATCGATCTCTCGGATGGTCATCTCATCCTTGGCCGCCGCGATGTCAGATTGAGCCTTCTCGATGCACCGCCCCTTCAGTCGCCGATAGCGTTCTTTGGCGGTATCAGAAACCACCAGATCGGGGTCGGAGCTGAGGCCCTTGATGTACTCTTCCATCTTCGTCGCCAGAGTCGTGACATGCGTGCCGACAGCTGCCTGAATTTCTTCAACCTCCAGTTCTTTAGAAGCGATAAACTCCGCCTGCAGCCGTTTTTGATTCTCCAAGTGGATCTTCGCGACAGCTGCTGCAGATTTCTCTTTGACGGAGTCGTTCTTCGTCTGGAATTCGACCGCCTTAGTCCTGATTCTGTGCAGAATAGAACCTTGGCGATCCAACTCCTTCATCTTTTTAAGCTTGCTTTTCGCTTTAAGAAGGTCCTTGAAGCCGTCCCGGAAATCTTTCACCGCTGCAGTAGTCCAACTCTTGAAAATTTCAGGAATCGGAGAATTGTCAACGGGCTGATCCGGCATCTCCATGCTTGGACGACTCCCAGAAGGTCCGGGGGGAGGAATCTCAGGTTGCTTGCTTCGTGAAACAGGTTCGTAGGTCAACTGCAAAGGCGGAATACGACTGCCGTCCCGCGAGTGCTTCGATGCACTCCTGGTAGCAGGACGCGACGATCCTCCGCGCCCACGAGCTTTCTTCGACGAGCCGCGTCCTTCAGTACCGGCCTCTTCGTTTTCTGAAAACCATTCGGTATCCCAAGGGTCACCCTGACTCATGTTTCGAAGGGCTGCAGTAGTAGAGAGGACGCTTAAGCAAAGGAATCAAACAGTGAAAAAAGGTGAGAAAAACGCAGATCTGAAAAAACCCTTAGCTTCCGAAAAGCCTCCTTGCGTAAACTAGTTTCGGCGGATGGGCGAACCCAATCACGCCTTCATCAGTACAGCACAATTCGGAACTCAGAAACAGAGAGTCTGGTAGCAGCTAAAATAGCTAGACTACCCTCGAGATCTACGTATAAGAAACCCAACTACCCAGAATCCAACTAGGAAAGGGGTTCGCCAACTAGGCAATGAAACAAATTCAGGGTGCCAAGTCAGCCTTCGGGAACTTCTTCGACAGCATTGGCGAGTGACTTTGGTAACCGCGCCCTTACGAGTAACCGCTGAAGGTTACGTGCACACTTCCATGCAATTATAATTCTCCCCACATAAAAACCGCGAGACATGAGACGACTTTTGAGGCGCCTCAAAAGCAGGGGCAGGGGCAAGGGCAGGGGCAGGGGCAAGGGCACCTTGTGTGTGAGGTGCGAGTAGCCAAAGGGTGTCAGCTTGCACCCGCCAAGAGGATCGTTCACCGCTGCACCATGCCATGCCATGCCATGCCATCCCATGCCATGCCACGCCATTCCACATGCCGTTTTATGCCGCGCCACGCAACACCACACCATGCCATGTGAGGCGCAACCATCAAATTCCAGCACAGGGACAACGAGAAGACGGCAAAGCAGCACACGATTATCATCACCACAAGATGAAGGCTCAAGGTAGTCGTATCGTAACGCTTGCTGCCTCGACCAACTACCGCATGACTGTTTCTTGTCCAACGACTTGTGGGGTGGGGATCCTCAAGAACAGCCTCATGCTACTACCACATGGACATGGACATTCAGTGCAGAAGGTATGAGAAACCTGAGTTGGAAGTGGCAAGTTGAGACGAGAATTCTCATGGGTGAGTATCGCATCCCACTTGCTTCGCCTCCACTCCACTACTCAATGGCACATACCTCCGTTGTAACCAGAACACAGGCATGCCCACATGCATGCCCACATGCATGCCCACATGCATGCCCACATGCATGCCCACATGCATGCCCACGTGCATGCCCACATGCATGCCCACTCCATGTACATACAGACCACCTCCTGTTACCCCAGCACTCAAAAGGAACCACTCACACACAGAAACTGTCACAACAACACTGTAATCACCTTCTCTCCCCCCCTCCTCCTTCCCTACCATCACCCTACCCACAAGCACAATCATCCCCTCACCCTCCCCTCCCTTCTATCGCCGTCACTCTCTTCCCCTTACCTCCACTCCTCCGATCTCTTCCCATCCACTCCCTCACCCCCACCTTTCTCCCAGCCCCCCCACCTGCATCGAACCCAGCGGACACAAGCACGAGCTGCGGCTGGAAGGAGTGCAGCAGCGGCAGCAGCAGAAGGTCCCAGGCGGCAAAGTAGTCCCCATCGCCGTAGCCCCCGCCCGGCCACGGCACGTTCACGTTGAAGCCCTCGCCCCGCCCCGCCCCCACCATGTCGTAGTCCCCGTCTGGGCCTGCTGGGTAGAACATGCCGCCCTGGTAGCTGGGGTTGGGGGGTTGTGGGGAGGAGGATATTGGGTGTGACTCTTGGGCGTCCATGTTACAACGCTCTGACCTGCTCCGAGCTGCCCTGCTCCCACCATGTTGTAGTCCCCATCCAAGCCTGCCGGGTAGAACATGCCTGATACCTGTGGGGGAGAGGGGAGGGGGAGAGGGGAGGCGGAGAGGGGAGGGGGAGAGGGGAGGGAAAGGCGTGGGTGGGGAAAGAGATGTCGAATGGGAGTTGGGCATTCATGCCGTGCACCAACCCCACATCTCTCGCCCCCACCTTATCGTAGTGGCCGTCCAAGCCTGCCAGGTAGAACATGCCGCCCTGGTAGCTGGGGGGGTTGGGAGAGGGGGAGAGGGGGAGAAAGCAAGGGGGAGGGAGGATGAGGGAGGAAGGAGGGTGATGGAGAGGGAAAAATCAGGAAATGAAAGTGAAGGAGGGAGCTGGGGGTTGGAAGGAAGGAGGGTGGAGAACAGGGAGCATGAGTGGGTTACTTCAGAGGATTTTGAAAAAGGAGGGGGAGAGGCAACGAGCGGGGCGTACCGGTGAACACTGAAGTGGAGGAGGCGTGGGTCGGTCCACGTATGCCAGTGCGCACACACACACACGCACTGAGGTGGAGGAGCCTATTGGTGCACATAAGGTGCCTTTGAGTCAACTCAACGCCACCTGGGAGAGGCAAGGAGCGGGGCGTACCGGTGAACACTGAAGTAGAGGAGGCGCGGGTCGGTCCAGAACATGTGCTGGATGCCGTTGCCATGGTGCACGTCCCAGTCCACCACCAGAATGCGATGCACCCTGCCGCTGTCCTGCTCCCATGCATGCATGCATGCACATTCGTCCGTTCATGGCGGCATGTATTGATTTGTTCATTCATGCATGCATGGGCATATGATTCAATGGCATGGTGAGTGAATGACGCATGGTATGGCACAGATGGTGTGGTGTGGAGTGGTGTGGTGTGGTGTGGTGTGGTAGGGTAGGGTGTGTACTGTATGCAATCATATGGTGCTTGGCAGCAAGGGCAGCTTTTGGCGTGCCTCAAATCAAAAGCCCTCACGAGGCACACATGGCAGCATGCCTGATGTTAACGCATGCAACTCAGCTGAAGCACCCACGAGCAGGTGCTTGGCAGCGAGGGCGACGTTGTTAAAGAGGCAGAAGCCCATGGGGCAGTGCGCCTCTGCATGGTGCCCCGGCGGCCGCACCGCTGCTGCTCCGTGATGTAGCTTGTGTGCTGCCACCTGCTGGGATAGCTGTCGTGGGGGGGGAAGGGGAGGGGGGAAGGATAGAGGCAGCGAGAGGGAAGAAGATGGATGAAGAGGTGAAGAGCAGAGATGAAAGAACGGGAAGGGAGGGTTGCACTGTTGCAAGACACATGCTTGCCGGCAGGAAGAACGGGGCGAGCAATGTGTGCTTTTGCCACAGAGGCCTACGGATGGGCGATGCAGCGAGCCATGAATGGCAGCCAAATCGGAGGCAAGAAGAAGACACAAAACGAATCAGCAGACGACAAAGGAGAAGCAGAGTGCAAGCATGTGTATGCAGACAATGGTGGGTGGGTGGGTGGGTGGGTGAGTAGCAGCACGCATGAGCGAGCAGCAAGCTGACCTCAGCAACGGAGCCAGCAGCAAGGAGTGCGGAGGAGGAGGAGCCCTCATTGAAGAAGATGGAGTTGAAGGCGCGGCTGCACGCCTCGCGCTCCTCTGCGCTGAGCTGCTCGCTGCTCACGGCGCGGATGAACGCCACGTGGTCGCGCGTGTGCACCGACTGCAGCTCCTCGTCCCTCGCCTCGCGCGCTGGCACTCGGATGCACCTGGGGGGTTGCCCGGGTTGACCGGGTTGGGAAAGAGGTGGGAGGAGGATGTTGGGTTGGGGGATTGGAGAGAGAGGAGGGTTTAGGGGAATGTGGGGAAGCACAAGATAGTAGAAGCAGGAAGGGGTTGAAGGTGGGTGCGCGGAGGAAATGGGGGGAGCAAGGGAGTGGAGGGGGGTGGGGGGAAGGGGTGGAAGGAGAGGGTGGGGAGTGGGGGGGAGAACGGGAGCGACAGAGGTGTGAGGATGGTCGAATGGCAAGATAAGCAAGAAAGCCCGTACCCCTTTGACTTGCCGTCAGAGCAAGGCGGCAAGGGACGGAAGCGGGGCGGCAAGGGACGGAAGCGGGGCGGCAAGGGACGAAAGCGGGGCGGCAAGGGACGAAAGCGGGGCGGCAAGGGACGGAAGCGGGGCGGCAAGGGAGCACAGCTCACCGGTGGGCGAGGCCGGTGGAGTGCAGGTAGGAGAAGATGCGGTGGATGCGCGCGGGCTGTTCGGGGTGGTCCATCTCGGGGTCCTGGTGCGCCATCATGCGCTCATCGTACACCAGCCCCACCCTCCGCCGCCCCGCCCCCGCCCCCGCCCCCGCTCCTTCTCCTGCTGCGCCTGATTCTGCCGAAACTGCTGCTGCTGCTGCTGCTGCTGCTGCTGCTGTGGGGCCTGCTCCTTCTGATGTGGTTGGTTTGACTGGTGGTGCTGCTGGGAGAGGGGATGCGGCAGGGTGGTGGTAACCAGTCGCGGGAGTTTGCACCAGCGGGCGATCGGAGACCGTGAGCGCGCTCAGATGCGAGTCTTCCGCCGTGCTCCCTGCCGCGGACGCCGGCGGAAAGCGCGCGGAGTCCGCTTCCGCAATTGACGGCGCGATCGACGGCGGCGAGGGCTGAATGTTCATGCTGGAAGGGCCGTCGTGCATCCTCGTGTCGACTTGGTGGGTGGGCTCCATGTCACGCGTTGAATTAACAGCTTTGGGAGTAACTATGCCAAACAAAGGAACTGGGAGCGATGCGGAGGAAAAATGCGGGAGCTCAGGCAGGTTAAGCGGGAAAAGAGTGCGGCAGATGTAGATTAATATTAATGCGGTGACGAGGAACTGGAGAAATAAGGGAAGGTGCGGATGGCGACGGATTGGAGCGAGAAATCTGGTCCACGCGTGAGTGCTCGTCGCCTGTCGCTGGACGGACCTCGTACAAGGACGCCTGCGGCTAGCGACGGACCAAGACGTGAACTTTGAATCTGCCGTTTTCAATTCCTGTTTTTCTGTGCAAAGAAATAGTTTTTGCCGTTTTGCCTGCTAGCGGCGTGGCACGTCAGCTTGGACTAGAGTCGCGCCTCCGCCATGATTTCACAGCGGCTGACATGACAACCTTTCTATGGGTGCTTTGCGGAAGAGCAGCATAAGTTGGTAGCTGTTATGTGTGCAATTGAACGAGCAAGACAAGATTGCACTAACGAGTCAAACGAGTGAGCAGGTGAGTGAAGATTTATGGCGAAAACTTAGGAAAACAGGAGGGGTTCAAAATCCTTAGGAACTTGAAACTTTGTGGGAAAACCGTGAGGCACTCGAACCCTGAATGACAAATGTATACTCTAGCTTGGTGCGTGTGAGCTAGCTAGTGAGATGCTCGCAGCGAGGTTTGGGCCAATCCAGCAGTGCATGGTTTGGGAAATGTGACGCGTGGCGAACACAAATAAGTAGTAACGGACGAAGAAACGGCTGGTCTTGTATGCGTTGCTGTCAAGCTATATATATGCCTATAATAGTGTTAAGTCTGTTAGGCTGTATTGAGGTGCATGATATAGGGTATAGGTTTCTCTCTACATTTGTACTTGTACCTTCTCCCCACTAATCAATGCCATAATTCTCCTTAGTTCCTTTAAGTCCTTAGTTTCTGAGATGGTACGGTATCAGCAGTAGGCTCGATCATAGCCTAAGAAGACGCACCTCTCTCGCCCCGTCACGCACCTCGTCCAGCTCGTAATGCGCCCAGGCCGTAGTGCGTCCCGTAACGCCGTGTAATGCCCCATGACGCCTCGTAACGCCCCATAGCGCGAGCCGCCCTAGCCACACGCACGCGTGCGAACATAGGACGCCGCGCACTGGCCCCCCTTGTTTTCCGTCCCGTCCCAAGCCCTGATCTGCCGACGCACACTACTGCAGCACGTATAGCCGCGCGCGCAGCCAGCAGCACGCACAGCTGCGAGCAGGCGGCACACACAGCAACGGCGGCCGCGAGCGCGCGCGCCAACGCATGCGCACGAGTAGCAGTCGCCGCCACGCCCGCAGCAACCGCCGCCGCGAGCGCAGCAGTTGTAGCCGCCGTAAACGCCACGTTCGCCACCACGCGCCACTGCAGCCCTTCCCCGCGCCCTGCCCCGTCACGGCCTACGCCCTGCCCTGCCGCCCGTGTGCGCAGCCCCACGCACGCCGCCGCGCACGAGCAGGCGTGCGCAGCAGCAACTGCACACGCACCAGCAACTGACTACGCAATAGGAGCCGTGATTAGCACCAGCAACTATACGTGCCTTCGCCACGCACTGCTGCCCGTGCTCCATGACAGCCCACCCGTTCCCTACGCCACTAGACAGTCCCTCACCGCTACTGACCGCTCTCCTTTCCGCTAGACTGCACCCACCCACTCGACTGCACCAGGCAGCTGCAGTTGCACACATACCTGCTGTCTCTCCTATACGCCTCCTACCATTGGCAGTTCCTAGGTTTCGCTTTCCACTCGCCAGACTCTTCACCGGTTTCTAGACTAGCCCTCACGCCACGTTTCGTGTCCGACTGTTTCTAGCTCCTGCCGCTCTTACGCTCCTCTGGCTTGTGCCATGGCGTCCGTTAGGGTTCTGCAGCAGCAGGGCCAGCCGCAGCAACAGCAGCAGCACTCCCGGCGGTGGGGACCTGGTTGTGCCAGCTACAGTACTGCCAGCTGGGTGCCTCGCCGCAGTGGTGGCGACGTCGGCCGTTGCCAATATTGGCTCCTGTCTGGTGCTGGCACCAACTGCTTGCGCCCTGACCACTCTTCGTTTTGCTGCTACCACCGCCTCAACGACCTCTACCGTGAGAGTGTTGGGCCTGACTTGCCTCTTCCGCAATGGCCTACTATGACTTGCCGTGGTCATGATATTTATTCTATGTCTATGTATGACGCTTATAATGTCATGTATGCTGATAAATTTAGTCATGTCGGACGTGTTGATTTGCATATGCCTAGCTTAGGACCTCAGCCGGCTTCTAGTGTAGGTGCTTGTGTAGTTAGTAGCCCAGGTGTACCTGGGGTTGACGCGTTTCTCTCGTTTACACTGGATTCTAGCGCGTCTCAGTGCTTCTTCCGTGACCACACCATCATCACACCTCTTTCTGCTCCAATCACAGTTGCCCTGGCTGATCTTACTTCTAGACCAGCAGTCGCTAGCAGTTCTACTTCCCTCCCATGCCCGGCTGTCCCCTCTGGTGTCCTCACTGGTCTGTACGTCCCCTCGTTCTCGCGGAACTTGGTAGGTGTCGGATATCTTCAGGATCGAGGGATCCTCGTCACCTTTCCTGCGGGCGAGAGGACTGCTCTCTGTACGGATGCTTCCAAAAAAACCATTCTTGCCACGTTTGTCAGGGAGCCCCACTCGGGTCTGTTCGTTCAACGCATTGCGGCCCCACAGGTAGCTACGTCTAGTCAGGTAGCTGCGTCTGGTCAGATCGCTGTGTCTAGTCAGGTTGTTGCGTCTGGTCCGGTCGATGCGTCTGGTCCGGTCGATGCGTCTGGTCCGGTCGCTGCGTCGTGCTTTTGTTGGTCACTCTCCCACCCGACAGTCCTGTGGCACCACCATCTTGGCCACCCGTCCCTCCCACGCCTCCGCAGCATGGCTAGCCAGCGTCTTGTCTCAGGTCTCCCACGCGTCTTGCCGTCACTCCCTCCCTTGCCTGCGCGGTCGTGCACTCCTTGCGTCGAGTGTCGGCTGTGCGCCACTCCTCACTCCTCTCTTCGTCCGGCCACCGCTCCCTTCCAGACTCTCCACTTGGACGTCTGGGGCCCCGCCCCTTGCCCTGTGCCCGAGAGGGAGAGCTTCTTTCTGGTGGTCGTTGATGACTACTCACACTACACCACCATGTTCCCCCTGGCGAAGAAGTCTGCTGTGACTTCTACGCTAATCCGGTGGTTGCTAGCCACTGAGACCACTCGTGTCCGCGGTGTCAACTGTCTTCACTCTGACCGTGGGGGTGAGTTTTGCTCCGGCATTCTTGCCGGATTCTGTTGCGAGCAGGGCATCACTCAGTCCTGGACTCTTGCAGAGTCCCCAAACCAGAATGGGGTTGCTGAGCGCTGCATAGGCTTGGTTATTGAGATCGCCCGCACCTCCATGATCCATGCACGTGCGCCCCATTTTCTGTGGCCCTACGCGCTTTGCTACGTCGCCCACCAGCTGAACCTTTGGCCCCGTGTCTCACGCCTGAGGCTTCACCGACCAGTCTTTGGACCGAGTCCCCTGGTGTTGCGTCGGAGTTTCGTGTTTGGGGCTGTCTTGCACTTGTCTACGACACCTCTGCAAACAAGCTCTCGGGTAGTGCCATCCCCTGTGTCTTCCTTGGTATCTCGGTGGACTCCTCTAACTTTTCGTTTTACCACCCACCCCTCCACCGGTTCTTTGACCCGCGTGACGTGCGGTTTGACGAGTCTGTGTCCTACTACACCCGGTTCCCCTAGCAAGGTCTCCCGATCCCTCCCCTCCCCTTTTCCTCGCCCCCTCTCCTCCTCCTACCCCCGCTCCTCCGGTACACCCGCCCCCCCCAGGTCCTGCCCCGTCTGGTGTGTCGCACGCTACCCCTCTCCCCTTGGTAGCACGTCAGGTACCGTCTCCTTTCCCACAGTCGTCCTCACAGTCACCGCGGCAGCCTTCGGCACTACCGCGACAGGTTGCAGTCGACTCTGGGGGTGCTCATGCTCGGGACACTAGTTCTGGGGGTGCTGGAGCTGGAGGTGCTAGTTTTGAGGAGACTAGAGCTGGAGGCACTGCTGCTGCGGCGCCTATCCCACCTCCCCACCACTACCCGACGAGTTTCCAGAGGCTTCGACAGCTAAAGTGCGAGGACTGGGAGTGGTTGGAGCAAGAGCGGCTGGGGCTGGAGCTGCAGCAGCAGGAGCTGCAGCAGTAGGAGCTGCAGTAGCAGGAGCTGATGCAGCAGCAGCAGGAGCTACTGCAGCAGCAGCAGTAGCAGCAGTAGCAGCAGCGGGAGCAGCAGCAACAGCAGCAGCAGCAGCCGCAGCAGCTGCCGCCTTTGCAGCCGTTGCCTCCACCTGTGAGTGGCCTTTGGGCCCTTGGTCTTCCTTCCCCTCGTTCAAACCGCTCACTGCCTCCTCCTGTTTACGGTCCTACGTTTCCCCCTCCGGACTCGTCTCCGGCTGTTTTCTCTCCTCCTCAGTCACTGTCGTCTCCTCTTGTTGTCCCGCACGACTGGACAGTCCGCTGTCCCGCTCGTGCACGTCCCTCATCTCCTTCTAACGACCTCCGCACTGTGTTACTTTGTTCGATTCCTCGTCGTTCTCCGCCTTAGTCTGTTCTCCCATCACCTCCTGAGTCATCTCTTATAGCCTCCACCTCTACCCCTATCACTGACTACTACCATGCCACCTGTCCTGTTTTCACTCGTGTTCTCGCCTCTCTAGTCAGTGACCCTCGTGCCTCTTGGTCGTCTGTCTCGGCTCTTACTGCTGCTGACGCTGACTTTGCCGCCACCCGCCGCCTTGACTACACCACCCGAGTGGTGCCTGCCCGTCCTCTGTCCGTCGGGGGTGAGTGTGCCCTTGGCTATGACTTCCTAGAGGACAGGCAGTTTGAGCTGGAGTTCTTGGCAGCCGCTTCTCCCCATCTCTGTGCCATGCTGTTAGCCCCTGAGGGAGACCCCGACGCCCTTGACATTCCGACTCCTCGCACATACCGTGAGGCAGTGTCAGGGCAGTGGGCCTCTCAGTGTATAGCAGCCATGGACTCAGAGATTGCGTCTTGCAGATCCACAGCCACTTACGTTGACGCGGTTCCCCCATCTATGCGAACGTAGTCGATAGTATGTGGCTCTTCAAGGTGAAGCGGCCGTTGGGATCACCGCCTGTCTTCAAGGCACGCTACTTGGCTAGAGGCTTCAGTCAGCGCGAGGGATTTGACTTCTTCCTGACCTTCACACCAACCCCGAAGATGACTACTCTTTGAATGTTACTCCACGTTGCAGCACAGCAAGACTATGAGCTGCACTCCCTCGACTTCTCCACCGCCTTACTCCACGGCAGCCTGCACGAGGAGATCTGGCTGCGCCATCCTCCCGGCTTCACTGGCACTTTCCTGCCTGGGACCCAGTGGAGCCTGCAGCGACCAGTCTACAGTCTCCGCCAGGTGCCCCGTGAGTGGCACGACACGCTGCGCACCACTCTTGCTGCCCTCGGGTTTTGTCGTTCGTCCGCCAACCCGTCGCTGTTCGTTCGTTGTGGGCCCACACCTTTCTTCGTCCTCGTCTACGTTGACGACTTGGTCTTTGCTACAGCAGACAGGGCAGCTCTGGCTAAGGTGAAGTCCGAACTGCAGAAAAGACACACGTGCACTGACCTTGGTGAGTTGCGCCGCTACTTGGCTTGCAGATCACGTAGGACAGAGCCGCTCGCACCATTACACTCTCACAGTCACACATGGTGCAGCAGGTCCTTTAGCGGTTCGGGCGTCAGCACTCCACCACACAGCCCATTCCTCTTGCCGTTGACCACAGACTCACCGGCCCTTTTCGCGACGAGCCCTTTGAGTCTAGTGGTCCCTACGTAGAGCTTGTGGGCTGCCTCATGTACCTGATGATCTGTACTCGTCCCGACCTCATCTTTCCGCTCAGCATTCTCTCTCGCTTTGTTGCGACTGGGAGACATCGTTCTATTCACTGGACAGCTGCTGTGAGGGTGGCGAAGTACCTGGCGACTACATCAGGCATGGGGCTTGTGCTTTGAGGGAGACAGCCATTTGTTCTGACCAGACACTGGGAATCTTTCTACGCCGACGACGTGAAGACTCAGCGGTCGACTCAGGGTTACTGCTTCAGCTTGGGCACTGGAGCTGTATCGTGGAGGTCCATACGATCGTCGTCTGTGGCTTCGTCTAGTGCAGAGGCAGAGATCTACGCTGGTGCCATGGCTGCGCAGGAGCTTCGTTGGTTGACTTTCTTGCTCACCGACCTTGGTGAGCGGCCGAGCTCTGCACCGACTTTGTTTGCTGACAAGAAGGCCATGATCCTCCTGTGTCGAGAGCCTTGACTGGAGAGCAGCGTGAAGCACATCGACGTCAGGTACTTTCTCCTGCGAGAATTGCAGCGACGCGGCCAGGCACGCTTGGACTTCGTGGCCTCATAGGCCAACACTTCAGACATCTTCACCAAGGCTCTTCCACCTGGTGACCACCACAGGTTCTGTCTGCAGTTAGGTCTTGTTGACGCATACCCTCGGTTGCTGTAGTATTACCTTTTGTATGTTACTCAGTTTGTCATTGCTTGTATATATACTTGTGTACTCTTGAACTAGTCTTGTGGCCGCTTTCTTGTGCTAAAACTGTGTGGTGACTTCGTGATCCACCCTGAGCTTTGTGTTGTTGTTTTGCTTGACTGATCTTGTGACCATTTGGCTACTTTGCATGTGTTGATGCCCTTCATTTAGCCTAAGGGGGTGTGTCAAACTATATA